CGAGCAGGGGCGACGCCCCAGGGGCGCCGCGACGAGCAGGGGCGGCGTCCAGGGGGCGCCGCGACGAGGAGTGGCGACGCCCCACGGGTCCCGCAGGGGCGTCGCGACGAGCAAGGCGACGCCCAGGTCCCGCAGGTGCGTCGCGACGAGCAGGGACGGCGCTTCGCAGGGCGCCGCGAAGTGGAGGGTACGGGCGGGCAAAACAGGCCCGTGCGTGGACGTGAGGCAGGCGCGCAGGCGGCGTGAGGGCAGGCCATGCGCGGGGCAGGAAGACGCCGCGCGCCCAGGGCGCACGGCGGGCAGAAGCCCGCCGTGCGCCCCGAGCACACGGCGGGCAGAAAATCGCCGTGCGCGCCGCGCGCCCGAGGCGCGCGGCAGGACGATAGGCAGCGGAAGCAAAAATGCAGCAGAAAGGTACCTGCTCTGAATACCATGTTGAGATACTAGCGTGACTTAGGCTTAGGAGGCATTGCTAGTGAGTGTCTAAGTAGCTTAGGTTTAGGGTTGAAGATGAATGTCGAGAAAGCTGAAAGGAGAGAATGGGGCTTCACTATAGGTTTGCAAGAACATATAGCAAAGGAACAAAGAAGGTGCACCACCAAACAAAGTATATAATAACTACACTAACTACAGCTACAGGCAGTTACAGATATATTCTGACAGTGCAGAGTCTTGTCACCTGCACAGCGCACACACCATGTCAACCTCGAGCTGATGACTGCCTCTGATCCGCAACGACGACCTCGGGATACCACCACCGAGGTCGGGCTCGCCAACTTCGCCTGGGCGACCGTCGCACTCCTCCGCAGCACTTCGTCACCCAGGTAACCTGGTCGACCAGTCAACCACGTCGACCAGCAGCTCTCGTACGTGCCCGTCGACCTCCCAAGTCGACGACCACCTCCACGTCGACCTCACCAGGTCGACCACGCCCCTCGGTCGACGTCCCTTCTGGTCGACCAGCTCTACGTCGACCAGCACTCTTGGTCGACCTGCTCCTCGTCGACTAGCACAATTGTCGGCCGACCACCCACGTCGGCCACCCAAAGTTGGCGTCACGAAGTTGACGCCCCACTACTCGACGCCCAACTGCTCGGCGTCCTGAGTCGAGGTCGACGTCGGCCCCTCCTTCGTCGACCACCAGGTCCAGACGACCACCCGCAGGTCGACCAGCAGTCCGTCAGCCGACCACCGAATTCGGCTTCCCCAAGTTGACGTCACCAAGTTGACGTCCTCCGCAGGTCGACTCCCAAGTCGACCTCCCTGAAGTCAGCGCCCGTGCAGTGGTCCCCGTGCAGGTCGACCTCCTCGTCAACCCGCTCGCCCACTGCTGCAGGTCGGCTGCTCCCCACACACCCGACCACGAAGTCGGCTCCGCCCAAGCGAGGACGGGGCCAACACACAACTCCCGTTGACACGAGCGCTTCAAGGCACGTTGGGTGGTTCGCGGCTACGATCAGAGGCATGGCATCGACTTTGATCAGACGTTCGCCCCAGTCAGTCGCCATACCTCCGTTCGAATCCTGCTCGCCATTGCAGCTGCAAGACACCTACCACTCCGCCAGATCGACGTGAAGAACGCGTCCCTGTACGCGTTAGTAGACGCCGTGATCTACGTGGAGCAGCCGCACACCTACGGCGAAGGGGACTCACGCGTGTGCCAGCTGCACTAGTCACTCTACGGGATCAAACAGGCTCCGAGGCTGTGGCAGCAGTACCTGCACAACATCCTGCTTGAAATCGGATTCAAGCAGATGCCGCACGATCCAGGGATGTATCGCCGCGAATTCCGGGGGGAATACATTCTCCTCACGGTGTACGTCGACGACCTGCTTTACACAGGCTCAAACAACGAGCTTCTCGAGCAGTTCGAGAAGGCCTTGGCAGGGCGCGTCGACATCACGTGCAACTACGAGGTGAAGCAGTTTCTAGGCCTCAACATCTCCTACGCGCCTGAGGCCATTCATCTCTCAGCAACTAAGTACGCAGAGGAGTTAGGGAAGCGGTTCAACATTTCACCTGCACCTCTCTCAACTCCCTACCGAACTCCCGGACCGAACCACAACCACGACAACAAACCCCTATCCCCTGCTGGGATTCAAACTTACCAGTAGCAGTTGGGATGCCTCCTCTTCGTCTCTGTCACCTGCAGGCCAGACCTCTCGTACATCGCCAGTCAGCTGGCGCAGTACTCATGCAAACCAACGGCTGAGAATCTTCTGGATCTGCAGCGCTCCCTTCAGTTCTTCGTCTCAACGCCCAAGATTGGGCTGTGCTACTCCACTGCACCAACTCCATCCTTCAACCTCATCGGCTATGTGGATGCCGATCACGCAGCAGACCCCGATAATCGACGGTCCAGGACTGGCTTCCTGTTCCGACTCGAGCCAACGGGACCAATCTCCTGGAACTCGCAGAAGCAGGAGCTGGTTGCCCTGTCGTCAGCCGAAGCGGAATTCATCGCAGCAGCCGCAGCAGTTCGCGAAGGCCTCTACTTGCAGGAACTCCTACAAGAGGCGAAAATTCCAGCTTCGCCCACATTTCGTCTTCACTGCGATAACCAGAGCGCGATTCGCATCGCGAACAAACCTGGTTTCGTCAACCGGACCAAGCACATTGCGCTGCGGTACTTCTTTGTGAAGGATGAGGTAGACAAGGGCAAGGTCAACTTGACCTACTGCCCGACCGGTGACATGGCAGCAGACTTCCTCACGAAGCGACTGCCACGCCAGCAGTATCAGCATTGCTCCGAACTCAGCGGCGTGGTCAAGCAGGTCAAGTCGAGCTGCGGCCAGGAGTGAAGGGGGGTGATACGAATAGTAATACTTGAATATTACTGTGCACTCCTCACCACAGCACGCAGTATCGCGAATGAACGTGAAGCGTCAGACGGTTGGAAACGACTCGAAGCGTCAGACAGTTGGGACGCATCTGAACCGTCGGAGCACACAAGCATCAGGCAGCTGCAGGCAGGATGGCTTCGGCGAGAACAGTTTCGTAACTGTTCGCGCCGCACGGTTGGGAATGTATTTGAATAAGGGAATGTACCCCTTAGAGTACATGGCTAGCTAGGTCGTTTCATCTTCGCTGTACTCATATTTATATTTGCTGTATTTGCATGTTTTATTCATCTCAAGCATTTACATTCACTCTGCTATTGAGGTCAAGGGCCCACCAACATCACTTCTCTGCGTGCGAACCTTCCTGAGTAGATCCTAGGCCACGATCAACTGCTGATCGTAGCAAAACATACATATATATATATATATATACTATAGTTTTGGGTAGGCTATAGTGGGGTAGATACTGTGGGGTACAACCCCTTAGGTTTCCTTCTTGTACCAAAATCATCTCGATAGTCCACATTGCTTCCTAGTTTCTAAGATGGTATCAGAGTAGTAGGTCTTTAGGACCTAAGATTAGGGCCCACTGGTTACCGCGTTACCTCACCTACGGCCTTGCCTGCCTGCCTGCCTTGCCTGCTGCCCGCGCGCGCCTTGGCTGCACGCGCACGTACCTTTTTTTTTTAGCGCGCGCTACTGCTGCAGCCGCCTCTTCAACCCGCCGTAGCGCCGCCAGGGCCCAAAATTGGTTTTAGGCCACCCTGCCTAATCTCGGTCTCAGCCTGTCCCACCCTGATGGCCTAGGGTAAAATTTCTGATACGCTGGCAAATACAGGCTAAAAAAAAAAGTACCCTGACTGAATCAAAGGAACATTCCATCTTTCGTATTTGTAACACATGAGACGTCAGTAAATGACTTCGTCAGTTACATGATCTCCTCCGAATGATAAGGTTGCAGGTTCGAACATTGATGTGTGCGGGCTGTCTACCTGGGCTATACGGGTTTCTTTAGATCGCTGCTACTGTAACCCTTGTGTGACACTTCTTAGTCAGGGAAAGGAAACTACTACACTGTTTTTGAAAGGGTAAAAAAAAACCACTAATTTGAAGAAAGGGTAACTGTACTGTTAGCCTGCCTTGATCAGGGTAACTGAATAAAAGCGACCTACAAAAAGGGCAAAAGGGTATTCTACCCTAATATTTTGGGCCCTGAGCGCCGCGCCCGCAGCCTGCGCCGAGCCCGTGTCGTCTGCGCACCGCTTGCGCAGCCCGCGACGAGCTCGCGCAGCCCGCCGCCACTCGCAGCCCGCCGCCACTCGCAGCCCGCCGCCACGCGAAGCCCGCTTAGGCCCCGCGCGCCGCGTCCATCGCCAGCGCGGCTCGCTTAGGCCCCGCGCGCCGCGTCCGTCGCCAACGCGTCCCGCTGCTGCCCCGCACGCCACTGTAGGAGCCCGCGCGCGGCCTGCTGCTGCCCCGTGAGCTGCCTTAGGAGCCCACGCGCGGCTTGCTGCCTGCTGCCTACTGCCTGCTACCTGCTGCCTTTGCCTTTGCCTGCTGCTTGCTGCCTTTGCCTTTGCCTACTGCCTGCTGCCTACTGTCTACTGCCTGCTGCCTGCTGCCTTTGCCTACTGGCTTTACCTGCACTACGATTATGGCGACGCTTGATGTTCTCGCGTTTGAGCCTGACGCTCGCCCGATCGAGTTCGCTGTGTGGCTCGACGATCTCCAACTGTTCCTTCTGACCAATGCCAAAGACGACGTTTCACTGTTCGATTACGTGTCTGGCACTGCCGTTGCTCCTGCTGACGATGCTACTGCTCTTGAACGCTCACAGTGGCAGACTCATGATGCTGCTGGACGCCTAGCTATTAGGAACCATTTGCCGATCACTGAGCGCGCGCATTTCAGCCGGCACAAAACTGCTAAGGCACTATACGGCGCTGTAGCTGCTCGCTACTCCTCCCCGGCCACTGCAGCCCTAGGTCGGCTCATGCTACCCTACCTGTTCCCCGACCTGTCCTCATTTACCACTGCTGAGGACCTCATTTCTCACCTTCGCACTAGTGACACTCGCTTTCGTGCCGCCCTTCCAGCCGAGTTCTGCGCCGCAACCCCCCCCCCCCCCCCCCCCCCCCCCCCCCCCCCCCCCCCCCCACAATGTACTTCACTCTCTATTTCCTCGTCACCCGCCTCCCTGGCACTCTTAGCTCCGTCAGGGACCACTTCCTAGCCCTAGACCCTACCACTCTCACTGTCGCCGACTTTGAGAAGCACCTCCTAGCAGCAGAGAAGAACATCCTCGCTGTAGGTGCTGCTCGTGGTACTCCTCGCTCTCCCCTCTTTGAGGGATGCTCCCCCTCCCCTCTTACCCCCACCTACGCCTCCGCAGCTGCTGCTGTCAACTTCCTTGGTGCCGAGAAGGTCGCAGCTGCTTCCGCTCCTAGTGCAAAGCGCAGCGGCTCCAAGGGAGGCAAGGGTGGCAGGGGTGGCGGACGTGGCAATGGAGGGGGCGGTGGTGGAGGTGGCGGGGGAGGTGGAGGTGGTGGGGGTGGTCGTGGGGGTGGCGGTGGTGGTGGGGTCAGTGGTGGTGCCAAGAGCGGTGGCGGTGGCGGCGGCGGTGGTGGCAGAGGGGGGAGTAGTGGTGGCAGCGGTGGTGGGGGCTTGGGTGACACCGGTGGTGGCCAAGGGCAACAGCAACAGCAGCAGCAACCCGCGGCAGCGTCAGCGCCAGACCCCCACTTCCCAGCAGCTTCTTGACTGGTATGCCAGGCGTGGGGCGTCTGGGGGTCCTGGTCGCTGCCCCTATATCATTCGCACAGGTCCTCGCGCTGGTCGCCAGTGCACAGGGTTTCATACTGAGTACCGCTGCTTCGCTCGGCTTAGCGACGCCTCGCGCGTCAAGTTTCCTGATGCTACTGAGTTCCCCAACTGGGCAGACCTGCTTAGGCGTGATGTACCTATCTTTGATCTTGACTATGAGGCTATTCTTGCTGCCATGTATGCATTGACTGTTAGTGCTGAGGGTGACTGCTACTTGTGTGTGCTGCCTGAGCCCGGTATAGCCCCAGGTATAGCGCCTGTGGCACTAGGTGCTTGTGAGTCTGCTCCCCCTGGTACTGCGTCCGCACAGGCCTTGCACACCTTCACACTTGACTCTGGTGCTTCCCGCTGTTTCTTTCGCGACAGCACCATAGTCACTCCCCTCCCTGCACCTGTCCCTGTCTCACTGGCTGATGTCAGTAGAGCTACACTGTGAGATCCCCGATCGATCCTAAGGGGGGTTACAGGCGCGTTCGCCTGGGGGGTTATGGGCGCACTGACCCGCTACTGAAACAAGCCCTTTTATCCCAATGGTCTAGTGGATGGGATTCTGACATGGTATCAGAGCGGTCTCGGGTTCGATTCCCGGTGTATGCACATGTAGGCCGGTGCCGCTGTGCTTAGTCCTGGGCCTCCCAGTGTGGGGGGGTGTCAGTAGAGCTACACTGTGAGATCCTCGATCGATCCTAAGGGGGGTTACAGGCGCGTTCGCCTGGGGGGTTATGGGCGCACTGACCCGCTACTGAAACAAGCCCTTTTATCCCAATGGTCTAGTGGATGGGATTCTGACAGCTGACCCCTCTAGGGGCCCAGTGCTTGCACGGTCTTCCACTATGCTTCCGTGTCCGGCGGTCCCGTCTGGTGAGCTGTCTGGTCTCCACCTCCCCTCGTTCTCTACGAACTTGGTGAGCAATGCCGTCCTTCAGGATCACTGGGTTGACACCTTTACTCCTGGAGGACAGCGTGTGGCGATCTGCACGTGATCCCGGACCGGCCATCCCCTCGCCACGTTCACACGTGCGCTTGGGTCCAGTCTGTACACCCTCACCACTACGTCACGCTCCACCCCTTTGTCTCCCCAGCTGTACGCGTCCGCTCAGGTAGCTACCTAGTGTGAGTGTCGCCGGCTGTCGCACGACACTCTCCTGTGGCACCACCGCCTTGGTCACCCCTCCCTGCCTCGCCTTCGTAGCATGCACTCTCGCTTCCTGGTCTCTGGCCTTCCCAGGTCCCTACCTGCCCTCCCTCCCTCGCCTGCGCTGCCCTGCATTCCTTGCGTCGAGGGGCGGCAGCGCGCCGCTCCTCACTCCTCCTCGTTCCCTCTCACAGAGGCTACACTGCACACTCTCCACCTGGACGTGTGGGGCCCAACCCGCGTCCGTGGACAGGGCCACGAGCGCTACTTCCTACTGGTCGTCGACGACTACACGCGTTACACCACGGTCTTCCCCTTGCAATGCAAGGGGGAGGTCCCTGATGTTTTGATCCCCTGGATCCGCGCTGTTTGTCTCCAGCTCTGTGAGTCGGACTTTCCTGTCCTGCGTCTGCACTCTGACAGAGGTGGTGAGTTCTCCTCAGACCTCTTGGCGGCCTTCTGTGCGGAGCACGGCATCTGCCAGACGTTCACGCTTCCGGCCTCTCCGCAGCAGAATGGGGTTGCTGAGCGCCGCATTGGCTTAGTCATGGAGGTCGCTCGTACCTCCATGATCCATGCGGTTGCCCCCCATTTTCTGTGGCCGTTTGCGGTCCGGTACGCCATGCATCAGCTCAACCTCTGGCCCCGTGTCTCCTTGCCGGAGACCTCGCCCACACTGCTGTGGACGGGGAAGGTTGGCGATGCGTCGCGTTTCCGGGTCTGGGGTGCTCGTGCCTTTGTCCGCGATACCACCGCGGACAAGCTCTCCCCTCGCACCATTCCCTGCGTCTTCCTTGGCTTTGTCCCTGACACGCCTGGCTGGCAGTTCTACAACCCAGCCACGCGTCGTATCATTGCGTCTCAGGACGTCACCTTTGACAAGTCTGTCCCCTTTTACCGTCTCTTTCCCTACCGCACTGCCCCTCGCCCCCCCCCCACCGCTCTTTCTCGCCCCAGGACCTCCCCAGGTAGACCCTCTCCCCGCGCCAGGTCCTGCTCCTTCAGGTGTCTCTCAGGTGGACCCTTCCGTACCTGCTCTTGTTGAGGTCACTGGTGACTCAGGTCCTGCTTGGGGGTGGTGCTGTCCCTGGGGGTACGGAGTTTGGGGGTGCGGAGCTTGGGGGTGCGGAGCGTGGGGGTGTTGAGTCTGGAGGTGCGGAGCCTGAACGTGAGGACCCAGGAGGTGCTGAGACTGGGGGTGCGGAGTCTGGGGGCACTGAGCCTGGTCGTGAGGAGCCTGAGGGTGCAGAGCCTGGAGGTGCTGAGCCTGCGCGTGAGGAGTCTGGAGGTCCTGAGCCTGGGGGTGCTGCGTGTGAGGAGCCTGGAGGTGCTGAGTCTGGGGGTGCGACGCCTGAGGGTTCTGAGACTGCTGTTACGTGGTCTCCTTGGAGTAGACGTCTTCGTCCGCGTGTGCCTCTCACCTCACAGCAGTTGCACGACGGGTACGGTCGCCGTCAGGGTCGCGCTTCTGGAGCTCGCGGTTCTGCTGCTGGACGTACTTCTGCTGACGTCCCTGGAGCTAGGAGTGGTGCTGGTCCTTTGTCTACTGGAGGTGCTGGAGTCGCTGGTCCCGGAGGTGCTCGTACTAGAGGTACTGGAGTTGCTGGGGCTGGAGGTGCTGTGTCTGAGGGTGCTACTGCTGGAGACCGTGGGTCTGGGGGTGCTGCTGCTGGAGGCACTGAGGGTGGAGACCCTGGGACTGGAGGTGCCGGTTCTTGGGGTGCTGCAGCTGGTGGAGCTGGTCCTGGAGGAGCTGGCGCTGAGGGTTCTGGAGCTGTTGGAGGTGCTGGAGCTGCTGAGGGTATTGGAGCTGCTGGAGGTGCTAGAGCTACTAGTGCTGGTGGCACTGCACAGCCGCGCCTGTTCTTCGCTCCGCCGTTCCCGTAGTCTCAGCCACCGCCTGACTATGCGCTTCGCTAGGTTCTCAGTCTCCCTTCGTCTACTGGTCTTCTATAGCAGCCTGGCTCACTGCTGCGTGCTCCTTCTCCGTACACTGAGCAGACAGGGGGCCTTGCTGAGCGTCGTGAGCTTGCGTCGCATCCTGTCTCGCCTGTCCGTTCTGGTCGTTCCGGTCGTCGTGTTCCTCGTCAGCGTCAGCCGGGTGTCCCCGGCACCCACCTTGTAGTCCGTCGTCCTTTCTCTCCTCCGCCGCGTGTTCCTCTGCCGTCTCCCCCTGCGTCATCTCTGCCTGACGTTGCGGACCATGAGTCTTACCAGTTCCGTACTGAGCACCCTACTGTCACGTGTTTGTTAGCCACTGTAGTCACTGACCCATCGTTTGAGTCCACTGCTGCGTCTGCCCTCGTCGCTAAGCTTGTCGACTTTGCTGCTGCGTGTCGTATAGACTACGCTGCTAGTCTTGTTGCTGAGTCTGAGTCTGTTTTTCCTCCGTCCGTCGGGGGTGAGTCTGCTCTTAGCACGGACGTCCTTGAGGACAGGCACGAGGACCTTGAGTGTCTTGCGGCCGCTACGCCTCATCTCGTGGCCATGCTGCTTGCCCCTGAGGGAGACCCCGATGCACCAGACATCCCGACCCCGCGCTCTTACGCTGAGGCGATCACGGGTGAGTACTCTTCTCAGTGGCAGACAGCCATGGACGCAGAGATGGCATCCTGGAAGTCCACAGGCACGTACGTCGATGAGGTTCCCCCTCCCAGGGCGAACATCGTCGACGGCATGTGGATTTTCGGGGTGAAGCAACCGCCAGGTTCTCCGCCTGTCTTCAAGGCCCGTTACGTTGCTCGAGGCTTTAGTCAGTGAGAGGGAGTTGACTTCTTCCAAACCTTCTCCCCCACCCCGAAGATGACCACTCTTCGGGTGCTGCTGCACATTGCCGCTCAGCGTGACTACGAGCTTCACTCTCTTGACTTCAGCACAACTTTCTTACAGGGCAGCCTGCACGAGGAGATCTGGCTGCGCTGCCCGCCTGGCTTCACTGGGTTGTTCCCTCGTGGTATCCAGTAGAGCCTCCGGCGGCCGGTCTACAGTCTCCGCCAGGCGCCACGCGAGTGGCACGACTCACTGAGGACGACACTTGCAGCTCCTGGGTTTACTCCGTCGACTGCTGACCCCTCGCTGTTTCTGCGCACTAACACTTCGCTGCCGCCGTTCTACATCCTAGTGTACGTCGACGACTTGGTCTTTGCCACCGCTGACACTGAGGCTCTCGCCCTAGTGAAGTCGGAGCTGCAGAAGAGACAGACGTTCACAGACCTGGGTGAGCTGCGCAGTTACCTTGGCTTGCAGATCACCCGGGACAGAGCACGCCGCACCATCACCCTGACTCAGTCACACATGGTGCAGCAGGTCCTTCAGCCCTTCGGCTTGACCTGGTCCTTGGCACAGGCCACTCCTCTGGCTACAGGTTACTCGCTCTCAGCTCCACCTTCGGACGAGTCCGTAGAGCCGAGTGGTCTTTACCTAGAGCTAGTTGGCTGCCTCATGTACCTGATGACCTGCACTCGTCCTGACCTCGCGTACCCTCTTGGCCTTCTGGCTCGCTACGTGGCTCCTGGTCGGCATTGAAAGGTGCACATGGATGCTGCGAAGAGGGTACTGCGCTACTTGTGCAGTACATCGACATGGGGCTCGTGCTTGGAGGACGGGGCGACATTGTTTTCACTGGTCACTCGAACGCTTCTTGGGTTGACGACCAGGCTACGCAGCGGTCGTCACAGGGTTACGCCTTCAGCCTTGACTCTCGTTCAGTTTCTTGGCGTTCTACACGCTCGTCTTCAGTTCTCAGCTCCAGTTGTGAGGCTGAGATCTACGCCACAGCCAGGGCTGCACAGGAGTTACGCTGGCTCACCTACCTGCTGACCGACCTGGGAGAGCGGCCTCGTTCTCCTCCAGTCCTGTACGTTGACAACAAGGCCGCCATTGCCTTGTGTCAGGAGCACAGACTGGAGCACATAACGAAGCACATTGCTCTGCGCTACTTCCTGGCTCGAGAGTTGCAGCAGCGTGGTCAGCTTCGTCTTGCTCACGTGACCACTCGGGCCAACACTGCTGATATATTCACCAAGGCACTTCCGTCTGGAGACCATCAGCGCTTTTGTACTTTATTGGGCCTTGTACCTTCGTTTCCATTCTTGCTGTAGTCTCTGCTTGTACTGTGATCTATATATATGTACATATCTGCATGCTTACTCTTCCTAGGTAGAGATGACTGTACTGTTCTTGTTGCATGTATACCTCTGCATGTGAACTAGCCTTGGGGCCGTTTGCTTGTGCTCAGTGTGTGTGGTGACATTGTGATCCACCCTGAGCTTGTTTTGCTTTCTCTTGACTGGTCTTGTGACCTCTTGCTCTCCCCCACTTTGCTTATGGGGGTATGTCAAACATATATACATATATATGTGTTATAGTTTTGGGTAGGCCGTAGTGGGGTAGATATTGTGGGGTACACCCCCTTAGGTTTCCTTCTTGTACTAAAATCATCTCGATAGTCCACATTGCTTCCTAGTTTCTAAGAGCACCCCGATTTTCAATGTTAAGAAACGCATGAAAGCTAGTCTGAGACTATTACCGCTCGTGTGAAGGGGCACTCTTGCTGTTGCGAATTCCCTTGTGCCACTTCTACTCCTTTTGGGGGTCAAGAACTAACTCACTGTGAAAGAGGTGTGAAATTTCTGACGCCCACACAACCCTCGGTCGAAGATTCCAGAAACGGTGTATACCCACTTGCGCAAGTGGGGTTGAAAATAGACCAAAAGAAAATAGCGGTGGTTAGGTGTACTGGACATGTGGGTCGCCATGATCTGAAACCCAATCACAGCTTTCAGTGTGTACCAGTTTTGTTGTTGCATTGCATACTTTGTGGTATGGATTGCTAACATACTAAAAACATACTTTGTGGACACAACCTCTCAATCTCCATTTTGTGAGAGCTGTTTGAAGGTATGAGTGGAATGCTTTTATCGTGCTACTATGTGATCTGCCTGCATGCTTGTCCAGCGAGTAAAGCGGGTAGCTGGAGTGGCGCTGGAGTGGTGCTAAGCGCAGTAACATCCATAGCCAGTTGCACTAAGAAGGCTGGTGGCGGTGGCCTGACCTCACCGAATATATTCGGTGCGTGACGGACAAAAGAAGCAAGTGATCGCAAGAGGGAGCCTCTAAGGGCCACCTGTATACACTCTCTCAGGTGCTGTGGTGTAGATCCCCACTCTAAACCATGCCCTTCCAGCAGCTTGCTCCTACACCTACTCCTGCAGTATGCCTAAATCAAAAGTCAGCGGATCCAGGCACGCGAGGGAAGGGGATGGCATCGCGGATGTTCTCAACGCCCGTTGCAAACTGCACCAGCCGCTCAAAGCCCAGCCCGAACCCCGCATGGGGGACTGCTTGGAGAAGGGGAAGAAAGAGGAGGTGCACAGGGGTGGGTGGGGGTGGGTGGGGAGGGGGGGGGGGGGGGGAGGGGAGGGAGAATTTAGGGGTGATTGAGGGGGGAGAGTGACATTCACGAAGGATAAATGGAGAGGCGAACGGGAATGTGTGCCGAATCAACCGTCAAAGCAAAATCACACCAGACGCTCAAAGCCCAGAGCAAAGCCCAGAGCAAAGCCCAGAGCAAAGCCCAGAGCAAAGCCCAGAGTAAAGCTCAGAGCAAAGCCCAGAGCAAAGCCCAGAGCAAAGCCCGCATGAAAGGCTGCTTGGAGAAGGGGAAGAAGGGGCGCGAGGGGCGTAAAGGGGGGATTGAGGGAAAATGAGGGGAGAGGCACAGACGGAATGGGCCATGTCTCTTTCATGCGCCCCTCCAGCAGCAGCTCCAGCCGCTGGTAGATGTGAGGTGGGGGTCAACTCAACCATTGTATCAAGCTGCACAAGATCAGATTCTTAAAGCCCAGACCATAACCCTGCATGAGGGGTTGCATGGAGTGGAGGAGAAAGGGAAGAAGGGGACTTGTCTGGCTCAGGCACACTAGAACCACTCAAGTCCCCTCCATCCCACCTGAACCGCACTGTACCCACCTGAGCCGTATCGGCGGAGGTCGAGGTACCACCAGTAGTCCTGGGGGTCAAGCCCCACGTCCCTCATGCGCCCCTCCAGCACCTCCAGCCGCTCCTCCCTCTGACTGCCGCCTATCAGCACACCTACTTGAACCGCATCGAGCCCACCTGAACCGCATCAAACCCACCTGAACCGCACTGTACCCACCTGAGCCGTATCGGCGGAGGTCGAGGTACCACCAGTAGGCCTGCGGGTCGAGCCCCACATCCCTCATGCGCCCCTCCAGCACCTCCAGCCGCTCCTCCCTCTGACTGCCGCCTATCAACTCCCCCACCCGCGGCACGAGCACATCCATGGCTGCAACCGTCTTGCCATCGTCATTGAGTCGCATGTAGAATGCCTTGATGTCCTGGAGAGAGGGGTGGGAGAGAGCGGTGGGAGAGAGGGGTGGGAGAGAGGGGTAGGAGAGAGATTGACAATGGTGAAAAGCAGATGGCATAATGATCGCTGGAAAAGAAGCAGGTGAGTGGCATGGCATGTAGAACGCCTTGATGCCCTGACGCATGTGCCAAGAAGGGGGAGGTAGAGGTGGGGAAGAGGGGACGAGGGAGAGCTGTAAATCACGAGGAAGTGAGGGCCCCCGGGGGATGTGCCGGTCGCATCGCTAAGTTACGGTCGTGCTGTCATCGTTGAGTTGCATGTAGTATGCCTTGATGTCCTGACCATGTGTGGGGGGGGAGGGGGGGGGGTAAGAGAGCAGTAAGGCACGGGGGAAAGAGGGCGAGGGGAGTGCGGCTTCCATCAAAGAGCGGGAGTTATGGTCGTGCCATCACATCATCGTTGAGCCGCACATAAAACCCCTTGATGTGCTGACCATGTGCGGGGGTGGGGTCGAGAAAAGGGGGGGGGGAGAGGGCAGTAAGCCACAGGGAAGAGAGGGGGGGGGGGATGTGCTGCATCATTGCATCACCGGGGTACGGTCTTGCCATCATCGTTGAGCCGCATATAAAACGCCTTGATGTCCTGACCATGTGCGGGGTGTTGAGGGGGCGAAATGGGGGATGCAGGAAAAAGGGGAGAGAGGGGGAGGATGCAGGGCATGCATGCTTACGATTGGGGTAGTCGGTGACACTGATGGGTTGGTTGGTTCTTGAATGCGTTCTCTGTGAGGTACCTCAGTCGGGACGTCTTCAAAGGTGACTTGTCACAGGAAACAAGTCAGCGAGTCGGCACATACTTACCTTAGGGTAGTCCGTGATTTGTTACCTTAGGGGTACTCGGTGGGTTCTCACCTTGGGGTAGCCGGTGACGATGATGGGTCGGTTCTTGAAGGCCTTCTCTGTGAGGTACCTCCTTTGAGTCGTCTCAAAATTCGTCCTCTCCGCTTGCGGTGAATTGTGTAATCGACTCAAGAATCGTCTGAGACGTTTCTAACGTGTCTGCTTACCTTGGGGTAGTCAGTGACAATGATGGGACGGTTCTTGAAGGCCTTCTCTGTGAGGTACCTCTCGTGCTCGCTCTGCAGGTCAATGCCCCACTCCACCTGCACACATGCATGCATGCATGCATGCCAAACGAGGGCGAGCACAGGCACGAGAAACGATGCGTGTAAGCATAGGCATGCGGGAACATGGCATCTGGACATATGGGCATACATACACACATGTGAGCAGGAACAATGCCACATGTAGAAGAGATTCCAAATCGAAATTTTTTGACAACCCACTGACCGGGTAGTCAAACTTGGTCTTAGCCTTCTTGAGAATGCTGATGGCATCTGTGTAGGGCACATGCTCAAACTCACTCTCCACCACCGACTGGGGAATGGGGAGATGGGCACACAGGGAGCAGGGATCACGAGGAAATAGATGCATGCATACTGAGTCAAACTTGGTCTTAGCCTTGTTGAGGATGTTGATGGCATCTGTGTAGGGCACATGCTCAAACTCACTCTCCACCACCGACTAGAGAACTGATTGGGACACGTAGAAATGGAGTGGGGGAACGGGGCACACGGAAAGAACACAGCAAGGGGGGGGGGATTTGGTTTGCAGCAAGTCAGCCATGAAGGCTGCAACCTGACGATAAGAAAGAACAGGCTTTTGAGAATTCTCAAAAACTACCTGGACAACCTGACGATAAGAAAGAACACAGGGAAGCAGAGCGGGCGAAGGGAGAACAGCTGTGGAGGTTAGTTGAACGCATTCAATAAGGAGACTGGGGGAAAGAGGGAACAAGGAGGTGAAGTAGAGAGGTAGGGGTTGCATGCCATGCCACCTAGACAGAGGTGGCACAGCAAGGGCGGGGGCGCCATCTGATCGCTCACCGTGAGCCGTTGGATGATCCCCGGCTCGACAAACTTGTCAAAGAATCTGAAGTCCTCCGCACACTCGCTCATGGCTTCTTGGAGCTGGAAGAGGAGAGAGAAAGGCGAAGAGGGGAGAGGGCGAAAGGAGAAGAGGAATGAAAGGGTGAGGAGGAGGGGCATGAGGAAAGGGCAGAGTAGGGATACCTGAAGTCCTCCGCACACTCGCTCATGGCCCCTCCTGAAGCTGGAAGAGGAGAGAAAAGGGAGAGGAGGGGAGGGGGTGGAGATGGAGGAGAGAGAAAAAGAGGAAAGGGTGAAAGGGAGGAGGATTGTGAGGAAAGGGCAAGCTAGCAGAGCTGGCATAGCGAGTATAACCTCCTTCTTATCCTTCTTCACCCACCCTAAACTTGGAAAGCTAGTACAGATTTCATGTTCATGTGTGCATGGGTGCATCAGTGCATGTGGGCATGTGCGCATTTGCGTACGTGCGTGTAGGTGCGTGCATGCATGGTGTGCTCACAATGTACTTGAGGTATGCCGTGGCGCATGCCATGTCATCTGCCAGGTCAGCAAATGCCAGCTCAGGCTCGATCATCTGAAGGTGACGAGGACGAGGATGAGGATGAGGAAAGGGACGGGAAGTGATGCGAGTAAGGAGGGAGGGGTGAGTGAAAATGGATAGGGAATCACTTTTGAGAATTCTCAAAATGGATAGGGAAGGGTAAGTTGGGGGAGCCGATTCGAGGTGGTTTGGTTGGGCGACCGGGAAAGATGGTCGGAGCAAAATGGTGACTAAAGAACCCGATTCCATGAGGCACTCCCATTGTTTGGTTGGGAAGGAGGCACTCCCATTGTTTGGTTGGGAATGAGGCACTCCCATTGTTTGGTTGGGAATGAGGCACTCCCATTGTTTGGTTGGGAATGAGGCACTCCCATTGTTTGGTTGGGAATGAGGCACTCCCATTGTTTGGTTGGGAATGAGGCACTCCCATTGTTTGGTTGGGAATGAGGCACTCCCATTGTTTGGTTGGGAATGAGGCACTCCCATTGTTTGGTTGGGAATGAGGCACTCCCATTGTTTGGTTGGGAATGAGGCACTCCCATTGTTTGGTTGGGAATGAGGCACTCCCATTGTTTGGTTGGGAATGAGGCACTCCCATTGTTTGGTTGGGAATGAGGCACTCCCATTGTTTGGTTGGGAATGAGGCACTCCCATTGTTTGGTTGGGAATGAGGCACTCCCAACCCTGGACAAGGCACTCCCAACCCTGGACAAGGCACTCCCAACCCTGGACAAGGCACTCCCAACCCTGGACAAGGCATACCCAGAACTCGGCGACTTTTGAGGCGCCTCAAAAGGCATACCCAACCCGACCGAAACACAGCGAGGCATACCCAGAACTCGGCGAGGTGGCGCGAGGTGTTGGAGTTCTCTGCTCGGAAGGTGGGACCGAACGTGTACACCTGGGGACAGGGGGTGGTTGGGAGAGGCGTGGAGGGGAGGGGTGTGGGGAGGAGAGGAGAGGCGTGGAGGAAAGAGGAAGAGCGTTTTGAGGGACGCCAAACTGTGCAGGGCACACGAGTGCATTTCCACTTCAGCTGGGCTGACACACTGTGAGCTATGCGACAGTATTTTTTCTAAGGGGCCTGAAAATAATGCAGGAGGACGGAGGGAGGGACGAGCAGGCTAAGGAGCATATTGTCTCACTCACATCGTGCAGGGCGCAGGCATAGATCTCCGCATTCAGCTGCCCCGACACTGTGAGGTACGCCGGGCGCTTGAAGAAATCCTGCGGCATGCATGCACACACAGCACACGCGCGGTACAATGCGGTACAGTAAGATGCAGAGACAAATCAAGACGCAGGGATGCCACAGTCAGGTAGAGTATGCACTGTCTGCTCTGCACTCTTTCCACATTGTTTGCACTGCCTCTGACTGAATCTACAAGGAGGCACGGCAATGTCACAGTAGCAATGTACTATGTATGTTCCTACACTTCGCGCTCACCTAGGTCCCCTGACTTCATGACATTACGCATTTCTGTGGCACGTCATTAACCTGTGCCACGTCATTCACCTGTGCCACGTCATTCACCTGTGCCACGTCATTAACATGTGCCACGTCATTCACCTGTGCCACGTCATTTACCTGTGCCATGTCATACACCTGTGCCACGTTATTCACCTGTGCCACGTCATTCACCTGTGCCACGTCATTCACCTGTGCCACGTCATTCATCGGAGCCACGTCATTCACCTGAGACCAGTCCACGGATCCGTCCTTGTTGGTGGGGATGGCCTTCACTGGCGTGGATGCATCAGGGGTGCCTGGTATCTGCAGGAATCGAAATGTAATGGGAAAAGATGGTCATAGGGATAGAGCGAGGGGGAGAGATTTTGAGTCGACTCGAAGCACAGGGATAGAGAGAAAGGGGGGCATGAAGGGGATGTTGATGCGGAGAGGAGGAAAGGGCAGGCATGAGATTCACCATTCATCTCTACATTACGGGGGATAGAGAGCAGGAAAGTTTCTTTTTTTTTGACGTATCAAAAGTGCGGACAGGGAACAGGGATGGGTGAAGAGAAAGGGCATCACTTGACCATGGCTGGTCAACTCCTTGTCATGGTCTACCACAGCCATGGCCGCACAGCACAGCACAGCACAGCACAGCACAGCATACCCAACCGCCCATGCACACCCACCAGCGTGGTGACTCGGAAGTGATCCCCAGCCCCTTGGCAGTCGGATGCCGTGATGATGGGCCACCCACCCACCCACCCGCCCCTTCCACCACACACGTGCACCTTTCCCTCTGCCCCCACACACACAAACTCCCACCCCCACCCACCCACCAGACACGTGCACCAATCCCTCTGCACCCACACACACAAACTCCCACCCCCACCCACCCACCAGCGTGGTGACTCGGAACTGGTCGCCCGCCCCTTCACAGTCAGAGGCAGTGATGATGGGCGATGCCACCCACACGAATCCGTGCGACTGGAAGAAGCGGTGCGATGCCTGTGCCAAGGCACTGCGCACCCGGGACACCTGCAGTGCGAGGGAGAGGGGTGGGATGCGCGGAAAGGTAATAAGGAAAGACAACGCCATTGCCACCCACACAAAGGCATGTGACTGGAACAAGCGGTGGTAGGTCTGGGCCAGAGCACTGCGCAGTGTACTCAAGACACCACACGGAGTGGAATGTGATAGTAGCAGCCAGCAGTGGGATGTGAACAGGGGTGGGTTTGGATGTGATAGTAGCAGCCAGCAGTGGGATGTGAACAGGGGTGGGTTTGGATGTGATAGTAGCAGCCAGCAGTGGGATGTGAACAGGGGTGGGTTTGGATGTGATAGTAGCAGCCAGCAGTGGGATGTGAACAGGGGTGGGTTTGGATGTGATAGTAGCAGCCAGCAGTGGGATGTGAACAGGGGTGGGTTTGGATGTGATAGCAGCAGCCAGCAGTGGGATGTGAACAGGGGTGGGTTTGGATGTGATAGCAGCAGCCAGCAGTGGGATGTGAACAGGGGTGGGTTTGGATGTGATAGTAGCAGCCAGCAGTGGGATGTGAACAGGGGTGGGTTTGGATGTGATAGTAGCAGCCAGCAGTGGGATGTGAACAGGGGTGGGTTTGGATGTGATAGTAGCAGCCAGCAGTGGGATGTGAACAGGGGTGGGTTTGGATGTGATAGTAGCAGCCAGCAGTGGGATGTGAACAGGGGTGGGTTTGGATGTGATAGTAGCAGCCAGCAGTGGGATGTGAACAGGGGTGGGTTTGGATGTGATAGTAGCAGCCAGCAGTGGGATGTGAACAGGGGTGGGTTTGGATGTGATAGTAGCAGCCAGCAGTGGGATGTGATCTGGTGTTGGTGAATGGTCTAACGTGCGATGCGGTGCAAAGATACTCCAAACCATGCCGCGTACTTCAAGGCGCTTCTTATCTTCCCGTCTAAACATGGTCAACTCACAGCGCCAATGGTGTTGGTGCGAGGTCTCAGGTGAGCTATGGTGCGAAGATACTCCAAGGAGTGCCGTTTCTTTTGCAGGGGGTACGTGCTGCCATCACTGCCGCCCACCTGCACGATAGAGGAGGAGAGGAAACACGTGAAAGAAGAAGAGTCTTGAGAGGGGCAGTAGCGATGGCAGCACGTCTCAAAACTCTTCTTCTTTTGCAGAGGGTACGTGCTGCCATCGCTGCCACCCACCTGCACGAAAGGGGAGGAGAGGAAACAAGAGGCAGGGGAACAAATTAACATGGACAAAAGTCAACAGAATAAGCGCGCATAGGAAGGAGTTGACAGCAGGAAATAGGATTGCTGACAAGGCAGAAGGAAGGCTTATTCAGCCAGGCCAGAGTGAACGTGAGGCGTTTCATGCACGGTGCTGAGAAGATACACCCATCCACACATCAGACAGGGAAGGGCTGAATACAGTACCCCCATTGAAACAGCTTTTGATGGGGAACTGGCTGAATCCAGTACCTCCAATACAATACCCCCGTCTCAAAAGTCATCCACCACACATCAGACAGGTAAGGGCTGAATACAGTACCTCCACTGAAACATATGGTGGTAATGCCTAGCCTACATGCAAGGTACTTATATCAGAGTGAGAATAAGTGCAAAAAGTACCAGGCACGTACTAGCGTGAGTCTTTTAGCCTTGATCTCAATCTTCTGGCCCTTGCCCTGACTCTCCACCACCTCTCCCTCCACTGACACCGCTGCCCCTGTGGTGATGCCACCCCCCTCCACCTGGTGGGAAGACCGTGAGGGAGAGGACGAGCAGGCATGGAGCAAGAGCAGGCATGGAGCAAGAGCAGGCATGGAGCAAGAGCAGGCAAGGAGCAAGAGCAGGGAGCGGAACTGAAAGGAGACGGAGCAAGAAAGGAGATGGCATGGATGGAGCTTGGAGCGCCAACAAGGCGAGCTTGGAGCGCCAACAAGGCGAGCTTGGAGCGCCAACAAGGTGAGCTTGGAGCGCCAACAAGGCGAGCTTGGAGCGCCAACAAGGCGAGCTTGGAGTGCCAACAAGGCGAGCTTGGAGCGCCAACAAGGCGAGCTTGGAGCGCCAACAAGGCGAGCTTGGAGCGCCAACAAGGCGAGCTTGGAGCGCCAACAAGGCGAGCTTGGAGCGCCAACAAGGCGAGCTTGGAGCGCCAACAAGGCGAGCTTGGAGCGCCAACAAGGCGAGCTTGGAGCGCCAACAAGGCGATCTTGGAGCGCCAACAAGGCGAGCTTGGAGCGCCAACAAGGCGAGCTTGGAGCGCCAACAAGGCGAGCTTGGAGCGCCAACAAGGCGAGCTTGGAGCGCCAACAAGGCGAGCTTGGAGCGCCAACAAGGCGAGCTTGGAGCTTGGGACGTGAGGAGAACTGGTGAAGTCGCTCTTCTCTAGCTAGCACTAGCTCACAAGCCACGACAGGAGAGATACCACAAGAAATGTTTTCACGGTTGGCTACGGCTAGTTAACCATGGTGCCCAGCTATACTGCCTGCCCAGGCTGTACCTTGCGTCAAGTCTCCAGATGCCTACCTGTTTCTACCTCCTGGTGGCCTTTCATTGACATTTGCTGATTATTTTGGCTGTTACCTCTTCTTGAAAGCGTTCTGTTGCTACCTTCTGTTGTTACCTCCTGGCAGATTCTGTGGTTACCTCCAGGCAGCTTCTGTTGTTACCTCCAGGTAGCTTCTGTTGTTACCTCCTGGTAGCTTCTGTTGTTACCTCCTGATAGCCTTCAACCTCAGGTGTGGCCACCACCTGAATGCCTGAAAGGGAGGAACCGTCATTGAGCTGGATGGAGGGCGCAGGTGGGGAGGGGGGAACCGGTGTGGGGAAACAGGTGGGGAGGGGAGAGTGGTGTGAAAGAACAGGACGCATGCGGGGACGAGGAGAAGAGGAGGAGTGAGGAGGCGTAGAGGACCGAGGGTTAACGGCATGATTGGGAGTGGGATGGGAGACATGAGAGTGGGACTGTCAGGCGTTTTACCATCACATCAGACTACATACGTTTACATTACAGTAAATTACACTACATTACAGTACATTACACTACATTACAGATACACCACATAAGAATGTTCATGCACTCGCTCACCTCAATGAAAGAGAAGGCCTTCTGAGAGCGCACCGTCCGCACCCAACCACGGAGCTCCACGTGGCGCCCAACCTGAATCCGATCAGGCAATAAGGAAAAACCCAGAGAAATAGAGTTAACTGGCAGAACATATCGTGCAATGGTGTCAAACTGAGACAAATGCATCAAAGACTAGCAAACTGAGGATAATGCAAGACAAATACAAGGCCCCACAAAGCATTCCACGTGCAAACCCCCATATGTATCCCCTACAACCTTCTCATGCCATTAAACCTCCCTCAATTCATACCTGATCCATCCCTTCGTTCGGTCCGTTCTTAATATCCGCGATTCTCAACCGCTTCTTGAACTCTTTCACCATCCGCCGCTCCTTGCGCCTCCCCGCGCCTGCTTTGCCGCTCCCAGCAGCCCCGCTCTCCGCTTTCTGCTCACTCGTCTGTTCCACGTCAGCTACTGCTTCAGTTGACGAAGCTGCTGCCACGTCCGCAACTGCTGACTCGGCTCCAGCCGTCGCTCCGCCGTCGCCAGTTGCACTCGAAGCCAAGCATCGTACATTGCGGCTCCGCCTATCAGCAGGTGCCACGTGTGTAAGGACTGTCGATGAGTGGTCCAGCTGTCTCCGGAGAGCCCGCTGCTGGCCGAAGCCATGAATCGATCGATTACAGCCGTCAGTTTTTATCTGCGTGCATCCGGCGATGCTTTCACGCAACGCGGGACACCCGAGGCGCCGGATCGCCTGAGCGGGAACCATCGATTGGCGCAGGCACAGGGCTGCGACTCTCAGCGCCGGCACGCATCGGCCCGCCGTCCAATTCATACTGGTTGACATGGAACGACGAACGTCGTTCGCGGTCTGACGTATCAGCGTATCTGGGCCAAGTCGAGAGTCCAAACAGCAACACTTGGTCGCGCACTTATCCAGAATTGCTCGTCTCCGCGAACGATGACAGAGATTCTGGCGCGAGCGATGGATTATGGCTCCTACTTCAGACTTTCGACGCTAGGGGAGCAGCATATGATCATAGCAACCAGAGTCACGGCGGAATAACCACGGCGGGTGTTTCAAAGTCAGCAGTGGGGAATTCGTGGTTGAGGAATTTCCAAGGCAAAGGACCATTAGCTGCCACGTCATGGATTTCTGCCGGGCTTATAAGCGCATGTAAATTTGTAGAATTATGTGAGATGACATACAGAGAATTATTTCTTATGTTCAATAAAGTAATCCGTTTTAGCATTTGTATATATAATTACCGGGGCGACGAAATAATGCCACCTGAGAGAGAAATAGTGTTGACTAAGCCACGCATTTCCGTCCTACTCTTCCTTGCGAGCCTCGTCAACCACACGCAGGGTTTCCTGCGCAATGCACAGCTCCTCATCAGTCGGCACGACCATCACCTTTATCTTCGCCCCTGCCACAGAAATCTCTCGTGCTCCCTTGTTCCCCTCCTCATTCCGCGCCTTATCCACCTCAATCCCAAACGCCTCCAATCCCGCACACACCCGCGCCCGCACTGGCGCCGATCTCTCCCCAATCCCTGCACTGAACACAATAGCGTCCACCTTCCCTCCCAGCTGGACCAAATACGCTCCCAGATACTTCCTCACGCGATGAACAAACACCTCCAGAGCAAGCCGGTGCCGGCCGCCCCCTTCCAGGTCATCCCCTGCAGGTATGCATGCAGCTTCAGCAACCTCGGTGCGGTCTACGACTGCTTTCATGTCCTTGTCTCCACAGATGCCCACCAGGCCGGACTCCTTGTTGAGGAGAGAGTCGATTTGAGCAGGGGAGAGGCCTTGGAGGTCTGAGAGGATCTTGGGGATGGCTGGGTCGATGTCACCGCACCGAGTGGCCATCACGAGGCCTTCCAGGGGGGTTACTCCCATGGTTGTGTCGATGCACTTGCCCTGCAATCACCCAGGGAGAAATAACAGTGGTTAAGAAGAGGTTCATTCCAGAAGGGGTGAACAAGAACAGAACAAAGAACGGAACGAACCAAGCCACACAGAAGAAACCATAGTCCATTGATTCTGTTGACCCAGTCACCTCTTTGATGCACGCCATGCTGGCATCCACCCCCTGGTGCAGCGTGATAGTGTTCATCTCGCTCTCCTTCGAGATAACTTCAGAGTGGACTTAAAACATGCAGGAACGCATCTTTGATGCATGCATGGGACTCGCTCTCCATGCTGGCACCGACTCCCAAGCGTGATCGTGTTCACCTCTCTTTCCTTCGTTAGAGTTGACCCAAAGGCCAGTCGCACACTGAACCCATCATTTCCAGCACTGCTGTCCCACTCACCTCCTTGATGCACGCCATACTTGCACCGGCGCCCAGGTGCAGCGTGATCATGTTCATCTCGCTCTCCTTCTTCCCCAGCTGCCTCGCCGTCTCCCTGAGCAGGTACATGTAGCTGGTGCCATGAAAACCGTAGCGCCGCACGCCCAGCTCCTTGTAGAGGCGGTAGGGCAGGGCGTACGTGTAGGCGTGCGGCGGGATGGTGCTGTGGAACGCCGTGTCAAACACCGCCACCTGCGGACAGTCCAGCAGCTCCTGCGCCACCGCCATGCCCTGCCCATGGCAGTCAGAGGGAGAGGGGGTGGGTTGGGTGTGGGGCGGGGGCCACCTGCGGACAGTCCAGCAGCTCCTGCGCCACCGCCATGCCCTTGGGATGCCAGTCAGGGAGAGAGGAGGAGGGGGTGGGTGGTAAGATGAGGTCGGGGGGAATGTGGGGTGGGGACCACATGCGGGCAGTCCAGCAGCTCCTGCGCCACCGCCATGCCCTGCCCATGCCAGCGCGGGGGAAGAGGGAGGAGTGGGGTGGGGAGATGACATAGGAAGGGGAATGGGGGGAAGAGCGATGAGATGGTAGATTTGCAGGCAGGTTAAGTAGGTACAGAGCATGGTGGTTGGACCCAACAATGAAGCAGGTAGAATGCGAACAATGCAGCAGCTCCATCAATCTCATAAGCGGAGTAAGCGTTCAGGAGGAGGTGGGGATAGAGCATGGGAAGCCAGAAATCCAGCCATCCAGCCATCCAGTCATCCTGCGCTCACGCCATGCCCTGTATGGTGGTCAAGGATTTAAGAAGGCAGAAACGGAACCTTGGGGGGCGAGACATGGTCACGCCAGGACCAACCCGCAGTCCTATAGGATGTGTTGTGTGTGCCTGCATTGTGGGTATGTGTGCTTGCAAGGGCTGGGGTGGCTTGCGAGACTAGGAGTCTGAGTGTGTTTTGCCTGTCCTTCACAACTGATCATATCTGGTCATGGCTGTGTGTGATTTGATTCTTGCATGCACTTCACAATCGCTATGTCCATTCCAGCACATTAGCACGAGGTTCTGAGGGTTCGGTTCAGTTCTGTGCGGGTCTGTGCGGTGTAGTGCGGTTCAAGGCCGTACCTGGAGGTTGGGAGGGTTGTGCAAAGGGGCGAGCGGCGTGAACTTCTTGAGCACGTCCTTCACGTGCTCCGTGATGATGCACGACTTGTTGATCTCCTCACCGCCGTGCACCGCTCTGTGCCCCACTGCCGTCACGGCGCTGCTGCCCTTGCTGATCCCCATCAGCTTCAGCGCGTGCGACATGGCCTCCTTGTGGTCGCTGAACACCGCTTTCTGAAGCACGTCACACAGGAAGGGTTACAGTGAGGCATTGAGAGTTACAGTGAGTATTTATGGTTAAAGGTTAGAACACAGAGCCGGTAAACAAACACAGAGATGCACTTTATCGGAGTGAGCTGAATGAGTGAATAAACGAGAAAGGTGGCTGAAGAGAAAGAAGGTGGTTGAAGAGTGCAGAGGGGAGGCAGAGCGGTTTGATTTGATTGAGGGTGGTCCCGAATTCGCAATGAAAGCGATGAAGGTGACGGCGGCTGACCTCATGGACGGTCTGGTTGGTGGCGAGGGCCTTGTGCGTGATGACGCCCTTGGGAGTGCCGATCTGCTCCACCAGACCCGACACCGCCAGCTTCGCCTTCAGCGCATCCGCGAATTCGTACAGCGCGTACCTTCAGTCATGCGCAGATGGAGGGACGAAGAAAATCGTTTCCGCTAAAAAGTCTTAAACCAAACGTGAAGGTGCATACCAGCTGCAATGCTCTCTCAAAGAAAAGGGTGAATAATACACCAGCAATCATCGCAATGCGGGAAAACGGATTTTCCCGAACGGCGCTTGGTTCCAGGGATCAGGACGCATGTTAGACCAAGGCAGGAGACATACTTGAGAGACGAGCTCCCTGCGTTCAGCACAAGGATCGTCTTCGACTTCGCCATGCTCAGTCAGGCTTCACGAGAAAGCGAATGATTTGACGACGCTTGGCGAGCTAAAACAAAAACGCGACTGCAGATTTAGGAAGAATTGGTGGTAGCGGAGGACTCTTAACAATTTCTGGGGATCAGCGGCTGACTTGGCCTGACTACATTTGACTCGAACAACAGAAACTGATGTGAGATCTTCTGAATGATGTGTTCGGTGAGTGTTGTGTGATTCAGGGCGTATCCCTGGGTGGTGGCAGGGCCACTGTAGATGGCAGCCTGCCACGAACACATAAAACGCCAGGTTGGTGTCAGGAAATTTGGCGCGCGAATACAGGTGCGTGATTGGGCAATGCCCCAAAAATGTCACTTCAATGCCACCAAATACGAGTCGCGCGCGCCTCGGTAAAAATGTTGGTGGCATGCGGTTTTCCCGCATGCCACCAACTCTGCCATCTACAGTGGCCCTGCCACCACCCGGGGATACGCCCTCAGTCAGGGATGGTGAACCAAACCAGCACAGGCAAGCAGGGAAGGGAGGAGGAAATGCATGATGGTAGGTAGGAAGGAAATCGGAGATGCTTCTTCTGGCATGACGTGGCGTTGATTTTCCGATGTTGCTGGACCCGTGGCGGACGTGTGCCTTGATTCTCGGTGTCAGCCCCAAGAATCTTGCAAAACGAAGCAGCACAGCCCAGTAGCCCGACTGTCCAATCAAAGGGCATCCCTGAATGCTTATTTGTCCAATCGTTGAAGTACTCCATGTTCAAATTATGTAGTCTATTTTTCTATTCTCTGGGAGAAGAATACCCGAGCTGCTTGAAACGGATCAAGGTCTTCTTGAAACCTCGTCTGACAAGCTCAAGGGAAGACAAGATAGGGGGAGCAAGCCCTTGAGAACTTCCAGCTAGCGCTCTACTAGGGACGGTTCTCTTGGACCCCATTGACCCATTGCCATTGATACTCAGCGAAGTTTGATCATCTCAAGAGTCGATACTCCCAAGGGTTGCTCTTGCTGCCCTGTCCTGGTCTCTGACTCTGGCAGAGACACGAAATAGCCTTGGCGAGCATCGTCTTGGCCTGCATCGTCTTAATTCCCCTCAATTGTCAACTCGTGGCCTTCGAACTTTCCACGCATTGCTAGCAGACTGTAACGCAAAAGACTCGGCTGTTACACAGACACATCGCAGTCCCGGGAGCCATGCTCCGATTGCTAGGGAAGCGGCTGGTGCAGCAAGCTAGCAAAGCGCGCAACGGCCAAACCCGCAGCTTAAACTCCTCGTCAGGGAACGCCGCGCGAGGCCGATGGAGCGATATCTGCCGAAAGTACCAATCGCAAGCGCAGGTGTTCCCCGAGACGGTCCCGTCGGTCGGGCCGTCGGAAGCACGCGGTCTGCACCGATCTCTTGACGGAATTAGCGCAGGTCCTCGGATCGTTTCAGCTGCTCACACGCGAGGCTTGAGCAGTTTCGCGAGCGGAGTGGGTAGAGAAGAGAGAGCTGGTGACCGAGCGAAGGGACCAAGTTCGTGGGATCAGAGGAGCCGATCGATTAGTGGTTCGAGCAGAAGCAGCGCGCCTGGCAATGTGGGTGCGTCGCACTCCAAGAAACCGCATCAATTCGAAGGCTCTATTTATCTCCACCACTCCGAGTACGTTCGAGAGACCTCCCCTTTTATAGAGAATTAGATGGCTTTATTGAAAATCGTCGTTTTTGTCTCATTGGAGCACCGTCGATTCCGTTTCAATCAAACGCCGTTAATTTCTGCTACCGTCAGCTAGTAGCGTACTGGCTTCGTGTGCGCACATGATTATCGGTTAGGTAGAACTCTGTCTGAGCTCTGTCTCAAAGAACACTACTGTCGGAAAATGTACTTCCGTCGCGCTCTGATTTGCGAATGCGTCTCTGTCATTCTTCACAACCCCCCCTTTCTCGCTTCTCCGCCGCGCCATATCCTTGTCTGCAGCGTGGGTGCTCCTCTGAACTCCGCCGCTCTCAGCATCGGACTCATTCACGCGCTGCAGGTAAGCGAAAGCCATTGTCTGGGTTATGCATCAAGTGAACTAACCATGATATGAACTATGATCCCGAGTATCGATGGCGAGAATCACCATGGCCCTTAACGTTGATGGGTGAGCGCTATCCATAGTCCTAATTATGCATTGACTGAAGTAAACACGGACTCCCTGTCTGATGATGATGAATGGATGGCCTGGGGCCCTGACCCGATCCCCCAGGTTCTGCGGCCAGGCGTGGGTTACTTTCGCCCAATCGACCAGACTTCGCATGGTGGTAACCGCGCGGAACTGTTCCACGAGGTGTTTCGCATGCGCACGCCTCAGGAGGACATGTTCGGGCTCACCCAGGACCAGGCGTATGCTCTGCTGACGTCTGAGAAGACAGACGAACTCCTTGAAACCATCATCTCAGGTAAAAGCTCTTTGAAACCGCAATTTCAGGTCAGATGTCTTGAAACCATCATCTCAGGTAAAAGCTCTTTGAAACCGCAATTTCAGGTCAGATGTCTTGAAACCATCACGCCGGGTCAAAACTCGTCGAGACCAGATTTTCAGCTCAAACTCCTCCCTGACCTAGCGCCTTGTTCCAATCAGCAGCTGTCTGCCTGCAACCCTCGTTTCATACTCCACCTCCCATCCACCAGCATCCTCCACCCGTACTCCACTTCTCAACTGGTATCATGACTTTGTGGTAATAGAGGCCACGTGACCACTCCCATGCGATTGGCACAACTACTTCCTATACCCCCCTCTTCCCATACCCCCTTCCCCCCTGCCCCGGCCTGCGCCTACCAGCATATGAGCGGTGCCAGCGACACCATGGCTTTGTGGTGATAGAGGGCACGTCCATGCAATTGGTACAGACTGTCTGTACAGTGGTTTCCTATAACCCCCTTCTTTCCCCCACCCCCCTGCGCGCCTGCATCCACCAGCGTACGAGCGGTGCAAGCGGCACCACGACTTTGTGGTGATAGAGGGCACGTCCATGCGCGATGGCACCAACACCTCTCCCCTCAACGGCCTCATCGCCTCCGCCCTTGAAGCCCCTGCCCTGCTACTCTCCGATGGCCGTGCTGCCTCACAATTCCACCCCAAGCACACTGAGGTAAGCACATCCCATCCCGGTACTGTACTGTATCTGCACTGCACAACACAATCCGGTTTACTGCGTCACCCCCCCTCTCCTTCACGCATCTCTGCATGCATCGTATGATTTCCACGTTTCAGCCCCCGTGCAGTCAGGTGGCGTGTTTGGTGACTGGAGTGGGACTCTTCCATCGTGCCCTTTTTGTCCCAGTGCTTCACTCACTACCATGCTTCCTTTGCGTCTCCCCATGCCCCCCCATGCCTCCCCTTGCCCCCCCTCCCCGCTGTGCAATCACGCGGGGTGTTTGAGGACTGGGACTGGGAGAATGAGGCGGCGGGGTGCATACTGGACCATGCGCGCATCATGAGGCAGTCGCATGTCGACGTGGCGGGCGCGCTCATCCCCTCACTTGAACACTTCCCATATCTCCCGTGCCCCCATGCAGTCAGTGGTGTGTTTGTGGACTGCGACCCAGACAGCAGTAAAAAATTCTCTCAAAATACACATCTTCCCCCCCCAACGCTGTACTTCCGTGCTTCCCATGCCCCTGCTGCAGTCAGGAGGCGTGTTTGAGGACTGGGACTGGGAGAAGGAGGCGGCGGGGTGCATCCTGGACCATGCGCGTATCATGAGGCAGTCGCGCGTCGACGTGGCGGGAGCACTCATCTACCGCATGCCCAAGACATCCCGGGGGGCGGCAAGGCTGAGGGAATACATCACCCGCGCACACATTCCCTTTGTGGGGGCCATTCCCGAGGATGTCTCGCTCGAGTCGTTCCAGGTGCTTCATGGGTTTAGGAGCATGTTCAGGATGAGGGAACGAGAGAGACACGGGAGGGGAAGGGTGATAAGTGGCATGGGAAATGGCTGTATGGGGGTGGACACAAAGTATTGAGCACTGGCTCCTGGGAATTGAGCTCTCTGAGCAGGGAAGGGGTGTGGTGGGGAGTGCAGAGAGCGATGCGTTGACGACTTTTGAGGCGCCTCAAGAGTGCAGAGAGCGAGGCATTGATGACTTTTGAGGCGCCTCAAGAGTGCAGAGAGCGAGGCATTGATGTGGCCGGGGCGCTCATCTACCGCATGCCCAAGACATCCCGCAGCGCAGCGCGGCTGATGGAATACATCACCCGCACGCGCATCCCCTTCCCTTCCCCCCTCTGGTTCACCCTTTCTCCCCCTGCCCGGCACACCTTGACTTGTCGCTTTCACTCCCTACCTCACGTACATCTCTCCCTACCTCACGTACACCTCTCCCTACCTCACGTACACCTCTCCCTACCTCACGTAAACCTCTCCCTACCTCACGTACACCTCTCCCTACCTCACGTTCACCTCTCCCATTTCCTGCAGGTGGAGGACGTGGGGAGAGTGCTGAACGCGCATGTGCTGTATGGAATTATTTCCCCGCTCATCCACCCCACCTTTTTCCGCCCCTGCCTGCCCCGCATACACCTCTCCCGTTTCCCGCAGGTGGAGGACGTGGCACGGGTGTTGAACGCGCATGTGCTGTACGGCGACGTGCCCCACAGCAACAACATGACCACCGAGGTCACGCGCACGCTCGTGGCCACGCTCCATCTCGCAGACCTGCTCTCCTACATCCCGCCCTCTGACGACCCGGGCAAAGGAGTCCTCGTCGTGGCTCATGCCAGCCGCCCAGATATTCTGCTGGGGATGATCGACCTGCATGAGACGCATCTCAGCACCCAGGTGCGTGCGTGTGTTCAGCAGGGCAGGCAGGGGCCTGTGCAGGTGCACAGGCAGCACTGCAGGTGAGCAGGCAGGCAGGCAGGCAGGCCAGCAGGCAGGCAGGCAGGCCAGCAGGCAGGCAGGCAGGCAGGCAGGCAGGCAGGCAGGCAGACAGGCAGCACTGCACTGCAGGTGTGAAGGGGTATGGCTGACAGACGGCACTGCACTGCGCATGTCTGCACGTCTGCTTTCCTGCTGAGACGATTTGCAACCCAGTAGCACTCACCTCACTGGCTGTCTTTGTGCCTCTGTGTGCTCGTACTGTTGCTTCTCACCTGGTGTTTTTCCGCTCATAGTGTGCGTGTATATCTCCTCCCTCCACACTCACTCTTTACCTCCACCACCATCACCGCCACCACCTCACCACGGCCATCACATCACACCATGCATGCCATGTGCACATCTCCCACACGCAGGTGGCAGCCATGGTGCTCACTGGCGGGTCGCCTCCCCCTTTGGAAGTTGATATGCTCATTCGGGTACGTTGAAAAACATTGCAGGGACGATTGTGCCACTGTGAAGCTGCTAGTCAGTGTTTGGGGCTGATTTGAAAAATAAAACATTGCATGTGCCGATTCACGGCAAGCCAAGGATTGCACTGCCAATCCCGTTAATCCTGTCTCGAATCCGCTGCTCTCTCTGTCATCCCCTTCATCCACACCCACCCACCACCTTCAAGTACCCACCGTGCCCTTCCTCCCCTCGACCATTCAGAGCCGGCCCACGAGAGTATCCCTCCCAGTGCTGCTGTCCCCCAAGGCCACACACGACACGTGCATCGCCCTCACCAATGCCCAGCCCGAGCTGCACGCCACGTCCCACCGCAAGATCGAGCGCGCCGAGGTGCGTTCACAGGCCGGACTGGCCTGTGCTGCTGCTGCTGCTGCCCGCCAGGGTGCCTGGGCAGGGCAGGGCTGTGCTGCCAGAATGCATGGGTTTCCAGGGTGCTAGAAGTGTGATGTGGACCGGATATACATACCCTTGCCACCAATCGATCGAGTGCTGCTCCCCTTCTCACCTGCGCTGGGGACATGCTGCTGCATGCATGCTGCCTGGGCTGCTTCTGCACACCTTCTCCCCACAACCCCCCTCCACACACACACACACACACTCTCCCTCTCTTTCCCCAGGTCATATTCCACGAGAACGTGGACATGCGCATGCTACACCAGGTGTTATTCAAGGAGCGACCCCTCCGCATGAACCCCAAGCTCTTCCAGCACACCATCTTTGACAAGTCCAGAGAGGCGCAGTCCCACATCGTGCTGCCGGAGGTAAGGATGCCTTTCATTTCCCACTGCACCGCACTGCACCTCTTGAAACCACTTCGGGTGAACCCCAATCTCTTCCAGCACACTATCTTTGACAAGTCCCGAGAGGCGCAGTCCCACATCGTGTTGCCAGAGGTGAGGATGCCTTTCCAATCCCACTGCACCGCACTGCACCTCTGGAAACCACTTTGGGTGAACCCCAAGCTCTTCCAGCACACCATCTTTGACAAGGCCAGAGACGCGCAGTCCCACATTGTGCTGCCAGAGGTACACTTGTTTTACCACCTGCTCTGCACCGCACCTTGTGAAATGACTAGAGGGTTGTGTAGAGCATGCTCTGATGCCCTTGTCTCTTAACAGTTCTCTCCAATTTCACCTTTCTTCAACACTTGCGTTGTAACTCTCCTGTTCTCCCCAGGGAGCGGAACCGAGAACAATCCAGGCAGCAGGGGAGGTGCTGCGGCGGTCGCTGTGCCGGGTGACCCTCATAGGCCATCCCGACGAGATCATCACCGCCGCCAAGCAGCTGCGCGTTGATGTCTCTGGCGCTGACATCGTCTACCCGCCCTCCGCTCCCAACCTGGATCATTATGCTGAGCTGCTGTACCAAGCCCGCAAGGACAAGGTGGGTCTTGATGCGGTAGGCTGGTGCCGCATGGCGTCTGTACGGAACGAACCTACTCCGCCTCTCCTTGGCTTTCTGCAGGGCTCAACGCAACCCTCCCTGATTGAGGCCCACGAGCGCATGATAAGGGCGTGGTCAGGTCGTCGTACATCTATAGTTCATGCTTCGTGGCTCAGACCGGTCCCACACGGTGGAGAATGGTTTTTGTGGTTTACTGTTAAGCACCGTGATGAACAACCTGACCCCACGCCCTAAGGGACGGTAGTTTCCGTCCCTTGTCATCCTTTCCCTTTCCTTCTTGGCTTCTCTCCAGGGCGTGACCCTAATGGAAGCACACGAGCTCATGATCACAGACCCCAACTACCATCCTTCTCACCAAATCACCTCCCTTTTTTTCTCCACTTTTGAGATCTCTCAAAGGTCGTCTCAAGAGACGTCTCAAAAGACCTCAACTACCATCCTTCTGACCAAATCACCTCCCTTTTCTTCTCCACTCCCCATCTCCTTGCCTCCCTCCAGGGCGTGACCCTAGTGGAGGCGCACGAGCACATGATCACGGACCCAAACTACCTGGGTACAGCCATGGTGGCAGCAGGCGATGTGGATGGCATGGTGTCTGGCGCCGTGCACACCACCATCGCCACCATCCGCCCGGCTCTGCAAATGATAACCGTGAGTAGAGATGGTGATGATCCCTGTGACTGCTGCTCTGAGTGTGCAACAGCAGGCGATGTGGATGGCATGGTGTCTGGCGCCGTGCACACCACCATCGCCACCATCCGCCCGGCGCTTCAGATGATCCCTGTGAGCACTGCGTTGAGTCCAGTGTGAAAGGACAGGCAGCAGATGTCTTTTGAAAACTCCCTGGAAACGTTCACAGCACGATGGCACAGTGTCAGCCTGCAAGGCATACCTCCCATTCTCCTCGCCTCTCCTCCTTTCTCCCCGCTTCTCGTTTCGCATCCCATGGCGTGCCATGGCGTGCCATGTCCTCACAGTCCTGCGCTATCCTGCCATGGTAAGCCCTGCACGGCATGTGCTCCAATCCAACCAGATCAACCCTGTTCCTGCCTTGTGTGACGTGGCATGTGCTTTCCAGAAATTGCCCAACACTGAAATCATCTTGAGAGTTTTCTTCATTTGCATGCCCGACCACATCTGCGTGTGCGTGTGGTGCCTTGCCTCCTATTCCTCTTCTATACCCTCTTGCCCTCCCTTCTCCTCCCTCCTCCCTTTTCCAGAAACTGCCCAACACTGCGATCATCTCGAGCGTCTTCTTCATGTGCCTGCCCGACCACGTGTACATCTACGGTGACTGCGCCATCAACTCCAATCCGACGGCTGAGGAGCTTGCAATGATCGCCATCTCATCGGCCGACACTGCTGCTGCCTTTGGCGTGGAGCCGCGTGTTGCGATGCTGTCGTACTCCACTCTGGACGAGCGCAAAGAAGGTGGGATTGGGAAGGAAGCAAGGTGGTTCTGTCTGGGCGCTGTGAATGCGTGTGAGAAACTGCCTTGCGCATGGAACCACGTGCTGCGATGCTGTCTTACTCCACTCTGGATGAGCGCAGGGAAGGTGGGAGGGATAGGAAATGAAGTGGTTCTGGGTGTTGCTACGGCGTTTGAGAATGTGCCTTTGGCGTGAATCAGCGTGTCACCACGCTGACATGTTCCACTCTGCGCGAGCATGCGGAAGGTGAGGACGGGACAACCCTGCTGCTGTCTTCCCTCTTTGGCATGTGGAATGGACACCCCCTAGGACCCTCCTTCTCTCTTCCTGCCAACATCCAGCCAGATACCATAGTGCAGAAGGTGGAGCGGTGCGGGCAACGCAGCTGGTGAAGCAGCAGTGGCCAGACCTGCTGGTGGAGGGGGTGCTGAATATAACACCCTCTTGTCTTTTGAGTTGACTCAAAAGTCAGCTCTGGAGGAGGGGGTGCTGAATATAACACCCTTTCGCTGCCCCTTGTCCGTGATGTTGATATTCTCCCCTTACCCCTCTCTCCCCCCATGCAGACACCATAGTGCAGAAGGTGGTGCGGGCAACGCAGCTGGTGAAGCAGCAGCGGCCGGACCTGCTGGTGGAGGGACCCCTGCAGTACGATGCTGCTGTCAACCCCATGGCCGCCCACAATAAGATGGACGGCAGAGAGTCCGACGTGGCCGGCAAGGTTTGTCTTGCTGACCAGTGGTTTACTTTTTCTATTACATGTGATCCCTGTGTGTGTGCTACACGTTCTGAGAAGTTCCGCTGAATCATCAACAGCTTATGGTATCAGAGGCTTATTTAAGAAGCCTTGACATGACGGCACGTCGGGCCGTTTCAAGACTTATTCCTCCCTCCTTCCTCCTCCCTCCTTGCTCCTCATGCAGGCCTCAGTCCTCATATTCCCAGACCTCAACACAGGCAACAACACCTACAAGGCCGTGCAACAGGTAACCCCCTTCCCTCCTCGCCCCCTCCCCACCTCTCTCCATCGGCCACTCACAACTTTTTTTGTGTATCATCTGCTGTGTTCTTTGGCCTTTTCTATCATCTGCCCATCTCTTCCCCCCACCGGCCACAAGAGCCATCACCATGGGATCGGTGCTGCAGGGGTCGAGTCGGCCGGTGAATGATTTGAGTCGTCGGTGCAGTTTTGAAACGTCTCAAAACTCTGTTCTAACCCGTGCGCCCCTTTCTCACGCTCGTCTCTCCCACCCACACAGGCCACAGGAGCCATCGCGATGGGACCGGTGCTGCAGGGGTTGAGTCGGCCGGTGAATGATTTGAGCCGTGGGTGCACCACCAAGGACATTGTTAACACCATTGCCATCACCAGCGTGCAAGCTGCTGCTGGCAAGGCGGCGCGCGCAGCACAAGAGGCCGCCGCTTAAACAGTTGTAGAAATTAAATGAGTAATCCGAACATTATTCTGGATGAGGAACTAGGAAATGCTGTATGTAAGGTCATGAACGTAATTCATTCACGAAGTGTAGCTCTTCAGTGCCACGAGTCGTCTCGTCACTATATTCTTGCTTCTCGTAACGTGGATTTTATTCCCTAAAAGTCACGCCCCCATTACGTTTCCGATCAAGGCGCCGTAGCTGTGCTCCTGCACACTAGTCTCTCCTGCTTGATGCGTCCAGTTTCTTCCGACAATCGCATAACCGCGACTCGCTTCAAAATCCAGCAATCGCCCTGTTCTGCCTCGCGGACTTAATCAAACTTCCCGCAGCTGCTGCTGCTGCTGCTCATTCGTCCGTACGTGCGACGATCGTAGTAATTGTCCGCTTTTACTTAGTCAGTCAGCTGTTTTTTCGACGCCTCGAGAGCTCCGCGGTTACTACTCAGCGCGCCGCGATGTACGGAATGGGAGGGCCGATGCACTACCAGCAGCACCACCCCTCACCCTTCACACACGGCCACATCCCCCACCGCTACCCCACTCCGCCGCACCCCGGCGCAACCGGATTCGCGCAATACCCCGGCGGACCCCCCGCGCAGCCTCCGCTTCCGCACCCGCAGCAGCAGGCGCAACAGCAGCAGGCGCAAGCGCAACTACAGCAACAGCAGCAGCTGCAGCAACAGCAGTCGCAAGGACAGGCGCAGGGGCAGGGCCAGGCGCAAGGGCAGTCACAGCAGCCGCCGGCACCCGCGCCGCTGCCGTCGCAACTAAGAGCGGGAAAGGACCCTTTTAGGAACCTGTACAGCCGAGAGTTTGTTGGGCACAAGAAGAAGGTACGAGACACGTGGACCAATGAGGGAGTAGAAAGCAGGTGGGAGGCATGCGGGAGCGTTGGAGGCGCGTGGGAGGCACGGGGGAGAGGGGGGGAGTAGGAGTGTGTTGGGGGCATGAGGTCTTGTGGAGGTATGGAGTTGACAGACAGAATGAGGTCATACAGAATGAGGTCATACAGAATGAGGTCATACAGAATGAGGTCATACAGAATGAGGTCATACAGAATGAGGTCATACAGAATGAGGTCATACAGAATGAGGTCATACAGAATGAGGTCATACAGAATGAGGTCATACAGAATGAGGTCATACAGAATGAGGTCATACAGAATGAGGTCATACAGAATGAGGTCATACAGAATGAGGTCATACAGAATGAGGTCATACAGAATGAGGTCATACAGAATGAGGTCATACAGAATGAGGTCATACAGAATGAGGTCATGCAGAATGAGGTCATACAGAATGAGGTCATACAGAATGAGGTCATACAGAATGAGGTCATACAGAATGAGGTCATACAGAATGAGGTCATACAGAATGAGGTCATACAGAATGAGGTCATACAGAACTGAAGGTAGGGGAAGGGAAAGGATGCTAGGTCAAGGTAACACGGATTCCGTTCCAAAGAACGTTGAATGCATCATTTTCTGTGTTTCATTATGACGTTTTTCTCTTTCTCTGACCCAGGTGCATTCGGTGGTGTGGAACTGCCTCGGCGAGAAGCTCGGGTCAGGTTCGGTGGACCAAACCATTCGCGTGTGGCAAGTGGATCCGAGCGGCCAATCAAACTCCGTGAGTCAGCCTGGCAACGCCCCATTCCATTTGTTAAGTTTCATTCCAGTCAGTCCAACACCCCATCCCAGTCCAGCACCCCATCCCAGTGTAACGTTTCCGATCCGACCGACTCTGAGCCTCCATCCGCCTCATTCCTCCCATCGTTGTCGTGTCATGCCGTTCACGTGCTGCCCGTGGTGCTGCAGAGCAAGCAGCGGGAGGTGGAGTTGAGGGGTCACAGCGAGAGTGGTGACAACTTGTGCTGGGAAAGAGGCCCCTTTCACCACTCTGACATATCATGTCATGTCATTCATGTGATGACATGTCATGGAATGTCATGTCATACTATGTGCCATGGTGCAGAGCAAGCATCGGGAGGTGGAGTTGAGGGGCCACAGCGAGAGTGTGGACAACCTGTGCTGGGACCCCCTCCACCCTGACCTCCTTGCGTCTGCTTCTCAAGACAAGTCCGTGCGCATCTGGGACACACGATGTGAGTGCAGGGGGTGTGGGATGGGATAAGCGTGCAGGGTGCATGGTATGGGACGCATGTTGAGGCGCCTCAGAGTCTCCTCCCCCACCCACCCGGACGGACCTCCTTGCGTCCGCGCCTCAAGACAAGTCCGTGCGCATCTGGGACACACGATGTGAGTGCAGGGGGTGTGGGATGGGATAAGCGTGCAGGGTGCATGGTATGGGACGCATGTTGAGGCGCCTCAGAGTCTCCTCCCCCACCCACCCGGACGGACCTCCTTGCGTCCGCGCCTCAAGACAAGTCCGTGCGCATCTGGGACACACGATGTGAGTGCAGGGGGTGTGGGATGGGATGTGAGTGCAGGGGGTGTGGGATGGGATGTGAGTGCAGGGGGTACGCTTTCGGATGCGTGCGGGTGCAGTGTGATGTGATGGGAGTGAAGGGCGCATGGTATGGGCGGAGTTTGAGGCGCTTCAAAAGTTCTTCAAGACCATCTGGACCTGCTTGTGTCCAGACGTGTTATATGAAAATCACTTTTAAGAATTCTCAAACGTCCCCTCCATCTGGACCTACTCGTGTCCAGACTGTCTCAAGACAAATTTGTTCACATTGGCGACACGCGAGATGGGAGTGAAGGTTACACGCAGCAATCTGATGATGTTTTGCAAATCTTCAAAACATCTTAAGATGTTGTGCAGATCTTCGGTTATCCTTATTCGTGCACGTGCACGTTCATGCAATGCACACATGCACACACGCAAACATTTCATGAGTATTCTTATTTGTTCATTTTGCACAAGTGCTGCTGTCTTCTGTCCGTTGTGTGTTCCTCTCCTTGCCATGTCAGCGGCCAGGTGTCAGCAGAGTGTGACTCTAAAGGGCGAGAACATCAACGTCACGTACAAGCCTGATGGCACGCACATCGCTGTGGGCAACAGCGTGAGTCTGCTGTACTGTAACGTGAAATTGCTGTACTGTAACGTGAAAGTGCTGTACTGTGACGTGAAAGTGCTGTACTGTAACGTGAAAGTGCTGTACTGTAACGTGAAAGTGCTGTACTGTAACGTGTGTTCTAACGTGCTGTGCTGTGGGTGGTATTGTAACGTCAACCTTCCGTACTATGCTAGTGAGCTGTCTTGTGATGTGAGTGAATGGGCTGCGCTATGAGTTAGGTCACTAATGGCTTGACACTACAGCCAAGCTACTGACATTCTAGTTGCTTCGATGTCAGTCGGTCGTGTCAAAGCCTGACGTTTCATGGATAGACCGCTCACCTCACCTACTTCGTTTCATGGATAGACCGCTCACCTCACCTACTTCGTTTCATGGATAGACCGCTCACCTCACCTACTTCGTTTCATGGATAGACCGCTCACCTCACCTACTTCGTTTCATGGATAGACCGCTCACCTCACCTACTTCGTTTCATGGATAGACCGCTCACCTCACCTACTTCGTTTCATGGATAGACCGCTCACCTCACCTACTTCGTTTCATGGATAGACCGCTCACCTCACCTACTTCGTTTCATGGATAGACCGCTCACCTCACCTACTTCGTTTCATGGATAGACCGCTCACCTCACCTACTTCGTTTCATGGATAGACCGCTCACCTCACCTACTTCGTTTCATGGATAAACCGCTCACCTCACCTACTTCGTTTCATGGATAGACCGCTCACCTCACCTACTTCGTTTCATGGATAGACCGCTCACCTCACCTACTTCGTTTCATGGATAGACCGCTCACCTCACCTACTTCGTTTCATGGATAGACCGCTCACCTCACCTACTTCGTTTCATGCATGCATGCATGGTGCCTGGTGTTGCATGCATGCATGCATGGTGCCTGGGGTTGCATTCATGCATGCATGGTGCCTGGGGTTGCATGCATGCTGCAGGCGGACGAGTTGACTATTCTGGATGTGAGGAAGCTGAAGCCTATCCACAAGCGCAAGTTCACCTACGAGGTCAGCCATTCTTAACCATTGCCCCTTCTCTGCCTCACCCGCATCTCTGCCTGGCCCCCACTTATTGCAGCTGAGTTCGTTTTACGGCTCTCACATTCACACCAATACCTCCGTCTATTCCCCCTGTCTCCTGTATCCTCTTCTTACCTCTCCGCTTCTGCCCACCGTCCAGTTCAGCCTCGCTTCTCACCTGTCTGCATGCTGTTTCCCTGCCTCTCACTGTCTCTCTCCCACCCACCTGTACCCTGGGCAGCTGAACGAGTTCGCGTGGGACCGAACAGGGTCCATCTTCCTTGTCACAACCGGCACAGGTGAGCTCCGGTGCACAGGTGTGGAGTGCGGTGCAAAACGGTGTGGCTGTGGTGCGCTGATGAGCCGTGGGACTGAGCAACTGTCCGTTCGGTGGCATCAACCCGGCCCCTGGCGTTGACTCGCTCACCTTCCTTCAGTTTTGAGGCGCCTCAAAACTAACATTGACTCACTCACCTTCCTTTTGCACATCGACTTCCCATCACACCTCAACTCAACCACACCCCATTTTCCACCACACCTCAAATTCTCTCCACACCTCAATTTGCAGGTGCAGTGGAAGTTTTGGGTTACCCCTCCCTGCAGACACTAGACACCCTGCACGCACACACAGCAGGGGTGTATTCGCTGGCCATTGACCCCCTTGGCAGGTGCGTGTGTTTGAGGCATTGCATAAGGGAGGTGGTAGAGTGGCCGGTGGGAGGGAGTGTGTGATGAGGGGAATGTGTGTGGAAGTGCGAGTGGGAGTGCGATTTGTCAGTCGATCAGAAAATGAAGTGGTAGAGTGAGGGTGTGTATGGGAGGGCGTGAGGAGGATGTAAGCATGTAGGTGCATTGCACATGTTATCCTCTCTTCTGCGATTTAGTTTTCCGTGTGCTTATCTAAAAATACTTTTCGGTATGTTTTCCCCTTGCTCCATTGAAGTTCTTTTCTTCTTCCTTATTCCCTTCCACTTCTTCTCATCCCTTCCCCACACACTTCATTTTCTCCGTCTCCTTTCTTTCCCGTTCTCTTTCTTTCCCGTTCTCTTTCTTTCCCGTTTTCTCCTTTCACATCACCATCAGCTTGCAGGTACTTTGCAGCAGGCAGTGCAGACTGCTGGTGAGACGATCCGATGGGACCATCGGCACCACCACAACTCCTCATATCTCCTCCCCTGTCTCCTTCTCCACGCCACGCCATCTCCCTCCACCATCACCATCACCCACAGGTACTTTGCAGCGGGCAGTGCAGACGCACTGGTGAGCCTGTGGGACATGCAGCACATGCTGTGTGTGCGCAGCTTCACACGATTAGAGTGAGTTGAAGAGTATGCATGTCCCGAGTGACTATCAAGTGTCTCGCCCTGTGGGACATGCAGCACATGCTGTGTGTGCGCAGCTTCACACGATTAGAGTGAGTTGAAGAGTATGCATGTCCCGAGTGACTATCAAGTGTCTCGCCCTGTGGGACATGCAGCACATGCTGTGTGTGCGCAGCTTCACACGATTAGAGTGAGTTGAAGAGTATGCATGTCCCGAGTGACTATCAAGTGTCTCGCCCTGTGGGACATGCAGCACATGCTGTGTGTGCGCAGCTTCACACGATTAGAGTGAGTTGAAGAGTATGCATGTCCCGAGTGACTATCAAGTGTCTCGCCCTGTGGGACATGCAGCACATGCTGTGTGAGCGCACCTTCACACGCCTCGAGAGAGTTGATAAGTGCATGCACGAGTACGTACCAAGTGCCCTGTTGTGTTGTGTGCAACATACAGCACACATTGTGTTTCTGCACTGCACCCTCACACCATTGAGTGAGCAGCACCTGTCAGGCTGCATGCTTCGTTCATATCTGCCTGCCCCCTGTGCCCCCTACCATGGCTGGCTAGTGCCCACAATGCTCCAATGCCGCTCCGCCTCTCCTTGTTGTCAACTCCAGTGGCTCATTAATTCGTCCCTTTTTGAAAAGTCGTCCCTCCTTCATCCCTTTGAGTCGACTCAAAAGTCAGCTTTGTCCGTTCCCCCTTTCCGTTTTTAAGGCGTCTCAAAAATGGTCCCTTCCTACCCTCCATTCTCGTAGTTTGTTATAAGGCTTTGTTATAAGGCGTAGTTGGAGGCTTTGCTGTCAACTCGAGTGGCTCATGCGTCCCATCCCATCCAACCTCCAATCCCCTTATTTCCCCCTTCGGTCAATGCATCTCCCTCCCCTTCCCTTCCCTTCCCTTCCCTTCTCAACCACTCTTCCTCAGATGGCCCGTACGCACTGTCAGCTTCAGCCACGATGGGCGGTATCTCGCGTCTGCTAGTGAAGACCTCTTTGTTGACATTGTAAGGCGTGCCGTGTTGTGAGCCATGCAGCACTGTGGGCCGTGCAGCACTGTGGGCCGTGCAGCACTGTGGGCCGTGCAGCATGCATGTATAGTGCTGTATCTTGCGAGCTCACTCATTGTGCCTGTGTATCATGCATGCACACCGTGCATAGAACACACCGTGCATAGAACACACCATGCATAGAACACACCATGCATAGAACACACCATGCATAGAACACACCATGCATAGAACACACCATGCATAGAACACACCATGCATAGAACACACCATGCATAGAACACACCGTGCATAGAAAACACCGTGCATAGAACACACCGTGCATAGAACACACCGTGCATAGAACACACCGTGCATAGAACACACCGTGCATAGAACACACCGTGCATAGAACACACCGTGCATAGAACACACCATGCATAGAACACACCATGCATAGAACACACCATGCATAGAACACACCGTGCATAGAACACACCGTGCATAGAACACACCGTGCATAGAACACACCGTGCATAGAACACACCGTGCATAGAACACACCGTGCATAGAACACACCGTGCATAGAACACACCGTGCATAGAAAATACCGTGCATAGAACACACCGTGCATAGAACACACCGTGCATAGAACACACCGTGCATAGAACACACCGTGCATAGAACACACCGTGCATAGAACACACCGTGCATGCAGCTACCACGCCATTGCCTCCCTCCATCCCTGTCTCCTGTCTTCCCTCCTTCACCACCCTCTCCCGCCTCCCAAACTGTTCTAAACTCAGCGCAAAATTCCCCCATCCTTCTTCCCTATCTCATGCAAGCCACCCCAGATCTCAGCACAAGATTCATCTCAGCGATGTAAGCCCCCAGACCTCACACATCCCCTCCATCCCTCTCTTTCCCCCGCATTCCCCACGTCCTATGCTCTGCCGCCCAACCCTCTCCTCCGGATCCCCTTCCAACAACAGGCGGAGGTGGAGACGGGGCGGTCGGTGCATCAGATCCCATCCTGGGCGGCGATGAACAGTGTGGAGTGGAATCCCAAGCACCTGCTCCTCGCATATGCCTCTGACGACGATGGCAAGCACTCATCCCCGGGTGAGTGAGCCTGCTGCTAGTACTTTGTTGCCCCAAGAGCACTTCTGTTTTATGCCTCAGGGGTGCTGCTTGGACTGGAATGATCTGAGTGGAACCCCAAGCACCTGCTCCTCGCATATGCATGTGACGACGATGGCAAGCACTCATCCCCAGGTGAGTGAGCCTCTTGGTTGTTATTGAGTCGACTCAAAAGTCACCTCTTTGAGTCGACTCAAAAGTCACCTGGTTGCGATGAAAGCATTGCCTTTTTGTGCCTTAGGGGGCCTGGCCCTGACTGAAATGACTCGAGTGGAACCCCAAGCACCCGCAGCTGGCGTATGCCTCTGACTTTGGCGTATGCCTCTGACTATGGCGTATGCCTCTGACTATGGCGTATGCCTCTGACTATGGCGTATGCCTCTGACTATGGCGTATGCCTCTGACTATTGCGTATGCCTCTGACTATGGCGTATGCCTCTGACTATGGCGTATGCCTCTGACTATGGCGTATGCCTCTGACTATGGCGTATGCCTCTGACTATGGCGTATGCCTCTGACTATGGCGTATGCCTCTGACTATGGCGTATGCCTCTGACTATGGCGTATGCCTCTGACGACGATGGCAAACACCCTTACTGGGGCGAGTGAGCCTGCTTATTGGCTGTTGCCATGAAAAAGCAAAGTGCTTATTTGCCCCTCTCGGTGAGGTGCCTTGAGGACGCGTCACAGGGGGCGATTGATCGTCCAATATCGATCCGCCACCGCAGTGTAATCACGCTAATTGCAATCGCAGCTTTCAGAGCCTTTTCTAACCCCACAAAGACGACCCTTCGGATGATCGATCGCCCCCTGTGACACATTTCGAGGTGGAACCGTAGGGAGCGGCTGCATTGCCAGTTGCTCACATATGCTTTTCGAGCAGCATTTGTTCTCTTTTTGAGTCTGCTTCGCACTCATGTGGAGTGGAGTGCCTGTGCTGGCATGACATAGAGTGTGGAGTGCGGTGTGTAGTGGCATTCGCTGTGTGAAGTGGAAGGATTGTGGCTCCTATATCTTCAATAATACTGTACCGTACATACTTCCTGTTTGTGTCCTTGTCGCAGGTGTCTTCCGTGTCTTTGGGTTTGATTCGCCTTGAGTGCAATTAGTTCTTTTCATTATAGCATTTGTTTTTCAACAATAGTCGTGTATTCGCATCACAATCCAGCTAGGAACGGGTATATGGCCACACTGAGTCCATGTGATGTCGGATACAGTATGTGGGGATGTGTAAGGCTGCAACATTGCTGGCAAATTTCTTCCTTCTAAGTTCCACTCAATGCTTGCCCAACGGTGCTGTATTTATGCACTTCTTGAGTGAATGTGTTCCAAAAAGGGCTGGACTAGGTAGCTTGTATGAGCATACGGGCCCAATGAGACATGGACCATGGTACTAAACAACATGCTATACAGCCAGGATTGAAGTTTCCACGTTAGGCTGATACCTTTAGGCTCATAGCATCTAGGTCAGTGCCAGTGTTTCATACTCAATTGCAGTTTATGGAATATTGAGTGTAAGATAATATATTTACAAGCACCAACTTATGATTTCTTCAAACGGACCCCCAACCCTGAGGTGCTGACTTGGCGCACGAGCCGTCCAACAAAAAAAAAAAAAAACACATTTTCTGCGAGCATGTGACATTTGGTTGAGCACCAGTACCTCCTGGTGCACCCTAGGTGCCAGGGGAATGGTGTGGCAAGAGAGAAGGGCGTGATACTGTAAATTGATCTATTACGGGAGGTATAAATCGTGTTTGCCCTACCCGAAGTCTTCTCCTGTCACTTAGCGCTTCTTCGTTGGCACAATGTGGTTCAAGCCGAGTTTGATTTCCGAACTGCAATTGTGCTGCTGTATCATTATCTCGTGTCTGTTTGCTGTTGCTCCCTCGCCTAAGAGTTTTCCATCCATTTCCAATGCTGCTGCTAAGTTGTGACACTTAAAAACGTCACGAAACATGCTGATTCGGAAATATCAATGTTGCGCCACCCTCTCTGACTCAACTGCAGCATTGACCGTTCTACAGTTGTACAGCGACCCTTGAGTTCATCCGTCGACTTTCCGGATAACGGAAGGACGTTTTCGCTGGAAGCTGAGCAATCAATGCACGGCAACTGATCGCAAGCAGTCAATTTGGGTGTGCCCCAGAATCTAGGGTTGCCCACTTGTGCGCTGGCGCTCGGCTTGTGCGATCAGGTACACGTGGCAACCCCCTCCACCCCTCGCTTGCTTGATAGGAGCAGCCGATTTGCCCGCTGCCCAGCTTCCTCCCCCTCCTCCCCAACCCTGTCTGTCTGTTGCATCTCGGTCCTAATTTTTGAAACAGAACACGACACTGCTGCACCACCCTTCATTGTCATTCTTCGCTTCGCATCGCAGTCCCTATTGTGACCATCATTCCGTGTCCTCCCCGGGAACATCGAGCACGCTACAGTGCATCCCTGCAAGATGATCCAACTTCCCCCGTCTTTCTCTCCTACGCCATCCTCCCACATTTTTCAAGACTTGTCATGCGTTTCGGCTTGTTGTCTATCATCGTCATCGCAGTCGTCTGAAGAGTAGTTGTGCGAGGAGGAGCCGTCGTAGGCGGCTAGGTCATGTATCATCTCTGCGCACCTAATTTACGATTTTATTTGCAGCATGGAAACGAGATAGCTGAAGCTAATAGACAGACCGCTTATTCCGCTGTCGGCTATCGCATTCGAACTGTGAGACTGACAGCTCGCGTCGAAAACCCTGTTAAGTCGTTATAGAACTTGCGTAAAATACATAATTATATCCACTTGAAGCTTGCGTCGAAAATCCTAGTTTTAGATATGATTTCCAGATTTCTATGATGGCGGAAATGAGTGTGTTCGCATCACCTTCCGCGGAATCTTCGCCCGACGTGTCCGAGCATCTCAGCGCAAGCAACTCCGTTCGCTCCACGCGTCCCCAGGAATACATGACGCGAAGGCAAGCTGCGGCTGCCGCCGGTAATGTTGACGACCGGAAGGGTTTCGCCGGCAGCAGCGAGGGCAGCAGCAGTTGTGCGGCTGTCGCAAGCCTGGGAGCTTCTGACGGTTACGATTTCGCTGCTGCTGACCCCGCGCGGCGAGATGGTGGCGAGAGTAACCATGAACCTCCCAGTTCGTGGCTGGACAGGAAGCTTTTAGAGAGAAACGACCGGGATGATTCCGAAGTGGACAATTTAGTGGGTTCTGACGGAGTTGGTCGTAAGAGGAAGAAAAGCTGGGTAGGCATTTCGCGTTTATGGCGGAAAACGGCAAGGCGACGCGGCGGGAAGGAGTCGCATGCTTACGACGAAGGTGATGGCGATAGTAGCGATGGGTCCAGCTCTAGCGACGATGGATGGGAAATCGGTGGACTAAGTTGTCGCAAAGGCGACCAGGGGATGAGGAACACCGAGAGAACGGCGCTACGGAAATGTGATGGACACTGGGAAGGAGACGAGGAATGGGAGGATGAAGAGGAGGACGACAAGGGGGGGGCGGAGGAGTTAAGTGGGAGCACGAGAGAGTCCTGGGTGTCTGCCGTCGAGTCGTTTCTCTCCTGGCCGCTGCGCGCTCTTACGCACGCATGGCGTCTGGTACGTTCAAATGCGTGTGTTTTGTTTGTTGTTTGCCTTTTCATTACTATTTTCCGCCTGGTCGCGCCAGCGGCGTTAACCACGCATGCACTGGGTGCTGTTCCTGTCTCACAGCGCCGCGTGTGCTGGGTCTTGGCCGTCAGGGCGCCGGACGCGCGCGTTCGACGAATGCACGCATGCGACGGATGCACGCATGCGACGAATGCACGCATGGGACGGATGCACGCATGCGACGGATGCACGCATGCGACGGATGCACGCATGCGACGAATGCACGCATGCGACGAATGCACGCATGCGACGGATGCACGCATGCGACGAATGCACGCATGCGACGAATGCACGCATGCAACGAATGCACGCATGCGACGAATGCACGCATGCGACGATTGCACGCATTCAACGAATGCGCGCGCGCGACGAATGATCTTTGTGGTACGAGTGCTGCGTGTTTCACGGCGTCTCATCTCCTCTCCTCCGTCTCTCCTTGCTTCTGTCGAATTTCGCCGCTGACTAGCGCGGGTCCGCTGCTGGCGACTTTTGCTGATGCGCGCATCGCTTCTCTTCCCCCTTACCACCCCATCCCCGCCACTTCCACTTCCCCATCCCCCAGCGCATGTGTTGAATCTGGGCAGTGATCAGTCTCGACGGGCTAGCAGTCGTCTTCGCGCGCGTGCGGGCGCGCGCAGTGGCAGAGAAACACTCAGTGTCCCTCTTCCCCCTCCCCCTGTTCCCGCTCCCTCCCCGCCGCCATCCCAGCGCGTGTGTTGGATCTGGGCGGTGATGAGCGTGGGCTTGCTGGCGATGATCTTCACGATCGTGTGGACGCAAGCGTCGAGCGAGCAGCAGGCGGAGCGCGAGGGGCAGTGCGGCGAGTGGGCAGCGTTCATCGAGTCGCACTTCAACTCCACGCAGGCCAACACGCGCGCGCTCGCCGAGTTCGTCCACGCCTACTACATCGACGGGTACGTTTACCATACGAGTGGGTGGGTATGCCCTCTACGTCATAAGGTGTCGCACGTTTACCATGTCAGAAGATACGCCCACAATCTCCCTGTCACTCCCTTGTCCCCCCCTCTCCCCCAATATCCCCCCCCCCCCCCGCATCCACCCCCCCACTCTCCCCCACTCACCTTCCCCCCATCAGGCGCGAGAGCTTCTTCCGCCCGTCCAAGTTCCTCAAGTTCAGCTCCTCCGCACTGCACGCCCGCCCCGTGGCAGCATGTGAGTTGCCTCCCTCGTCCCCCCATTCACTCATCCACCCATCCGCTCATCCGCCCACCCCAACCACCCCAACCACCCATCCTCCCACCACTCGCTCTTTCTACTGCTGCCTCGTGCCTTCCCTCATTTCCTCTCCTGCCCTTCCTTCCCCATTCTGCTTCCTTCCGCTTTCCTCTCCATCCCCTCCCTACCCCGTCAACCCCTGTCCTTCAAACTTCCCCAACCCCCCCTGCAGTTGTGGGCTATGCTCCTCGAGTCAACACAACAGCACGGCTCTCCGCCATCACGTAGCAAAGAGCAGCGCCTGCAGGGCTGCCTCATCGCAGTGAACGCGGAGTTCTCCTGCCGCCCGCCCGGCCTGCCTCATCACATTCACTGCACCCATCCCTCCCCCTCCCTGTCCTTTCGAGTGAACAGCACGGCCCTGCGCAGCCACGTGGAGCGGCAACTGCAGGGCTGCCTCATTGCACTCATCGCACCCATCGCACCCACCCCTTCCCCCCCTCTCCAGTTGTGGGTTATGCTCTCCGAGTCAACAGCTCAGCCCTGCGCAGCCACGTGGAGCAGCGACTGCAGGGCTGCCTCATCGCAGTGAGCGCGGAGTTCTCCTGCCGCCCGCCTGGCCTGCCGCTGTACGTGCCGCTGCTGCTGGGCACCAGCAGCAACGAGGGGAGCAGCATGCGCCGCCTTCCCCGCAACCGCACTGCTGCCGGCGCTGACCTGCTCTCCGGTGAGCCTGAGCTTGCGATTCGACTCAAAAGATCTCTTCTCAAAACCACCTCCCCCCACACCGCACTGCTGCCGGCGCTGACCTGCTCTCCGGTGAGCCCTAGCTTGCGGCGCTGACTCCTACTCACTTCCCCAATCCCATGACTCCTACTCACTTCCCACCCCTCCCCCATTCCACCCTTCCCTTCCATCAGACCCCACGCTAGCAGCCATGATCCGGGCGGCAGACACGGGGCGCAGCGGCGCCATGTCCGCCCCCATGGCATCCCCAGCATCGCCCTTCCACATGGTGGCGCAGGCCTTCCCCGTGTACGACACTCATGACCACGGCCACGTGTTCGTTCACGTGCCTGGTGCTGCCTCCACCAATGCTAATAGCACTGGTAGCAGCAGGAGCGGTGGCAGGAGCGGCAACAATGGCAGCAGCGGCAGTGGCACGGAGGGTAGTGGTAGCACCAGCAATGGCAGCAGCGGTTCCATCCCAACCAACTCCCCAGACGCACATGCACCCACTGGATCCCCCCCTCACCCCCACACCGGAATCGACCCATCTGCACCGCAGAGCTTTGAGCCCGACTCGCTCGACGCACTCACCAAACCGCACGGCTTTTTCATCGCAGCTTACTCCTTCCACACACTCCGCCTCGCCCCCAACTTCGACCAGCTTAAAGCCCTCCCTCTTCGCACATACCTCATAGACGTGACCAATGAGAGCAGCCCAGCTGTGCTGTTTGGGCCGGAAGGGACGGAGGGGATGACGGGGAAGCAGGCAGGAGTGTGGGCGGCGGTGGCGCATAAGAGACGAGTGGTGCAGTACCAAGGGCGCGTTCAGTACCCCATGTGGTTCGGCGACCCGTCACGGAACTTTGTGCTTGTTTGCGAGTGAGTGGGCTGCCTGGGGCTCAGCGTTGCTTCTTTCTGTCTGTTTGCCTTTGTCTGATCCGCTCCGTCTCGCTCTGTCGAGCCCGTCTTTTTTGTTTCGTTCTGTCTGCAGGTTGGTTGTCCAGCTATTAGAAATCCTAAGAATCTGTCTCTCAAGTGCTCGTGAAGCGCCCCTTGCGTGCTTCTCATTCTACCTCTTCATAGCCTCGAATTTGCCTCCTGAGTGCATCGTAAGTGACTCTTTATATCAACAAACCCCCTTCCTTCCCCCTCGCAGGCCGGAAGCCAACGCGAAGCCGAGCCCGCCGTTCGTGTGGATGGTAGTTTCATTCATCATCCTGGCGATCTCAGTGCTCGTGCTCTGGATGTCCGTGCACCTCATGGCCAAGCTTGAAACCGACACGCTGCGAGTGGAATCAGCACAAGCGCAGCTCGCGACGGCCAAGGTGGCGGCAGAGGCGGCGAGTCGAGCTAAGAGCGACTTCCTCACCACCATGAGCCATGAGATTCGTACTCCCATGAATGGCGTGATAGGTACGCTTTCAGTTACCATATACTAGCAGCCCCCACCATGCTTGCTTGGACCCTGCATTCCTGCCTGCACTGCACATCACCACCACCCACCCGGCCGGCACACGTTAACCTTGCCATGCTGAATCTGCTTGCGCCCTTCATCTCACATCACGGCCGCCTTCACCCTACCTCAACCTTCCCCTCCCCTTCAGCCCACCTGCTCCACTTCTGGTCGCGGCACACCTGCTCCTCTTGAGTCGGACACACTCCTCCTTCCAACCCTCCCTCCCCTTTGTCAATCCCCCCCACCAGGCATGCTGAACCTGCTGATGGAGACCCCTCTGGACGGCACGCAGCAGGACTACGCGGAGACGGCGTGCAGCAGCGGGCGGGCGCTGTGTGCGCTGATCAACGACATTCTCGACCTCTCCAAGATCGAGGCCGAGAAGCTCCGCCTCGAGCGCATCCCCTTGAATCTGAGAGCCGAGCTCGACGACGTGCTTGCACTGTTTGTGGAGAGCGCGGAGGAGAAGCGATCGGTGGAGCTGGCAGCCTTCGTGGCTGATGATGTGCCGGAGACTCTCGTCGGGGATCCGCTGCGCATACGGCAGGTGAGTAAATAAAACTCAGCAATTGTTTGTTTATTTGTTTTAGTTTTTTTTCCGGTGGAGATTTTCTTTATTGCCGTTAAACTCACGTTGTTTCCATGCATCCCACTTTTACACTAGACCCATTAGAACATTGCTACCTTTAAAACCTGAAGTTCAACTAAAAATATCGCCAGTGCCCCTGTACCCCGCCCACACTGCCCACCGGCGCCCCCCTCTTCCATTGACCCTCGTGCCCCACCGCGCTCCCCACCACCCATTTTTTGTGAGCGAAAAATTAGCAAACAATCTCCCTCTTTTCTCCCTACGACCCCTCGGCCCTTTTAATCGACCACAGATCCTGATGAACCTGATAGGCAACGCGCTCAAGTTCACGAGCACGGGGCACATCTTCCTCGTCTTCCGCCTCGCTCTGCCCGACAAAGCCTAATGAGTCCTCATGAATGCGTTGAGGCTATACCCCTCACCTGTCCCCTCCCTTCCCACCCTCCCCACCGGCCACAGATCCTCATGAACCTCATCAGCAACGCGTTCAAGTTCACGAGCACGGGGCACATCTTCCTCGTCATCCGCCTCGCTCTGCCCGACGATACCGTCCACTCCCTCGCCTCCTCTGCCTCTTCCTCCCTCCATCACCGCCAGCACCAGCACCACTCGCAGCACCACCACCAACACCACTCGCACCACCAGCAGCACCACCACCACTCGCATTCGCACCATGGTTACCATCGCCGCCGCAACAGCGATCCCGACCGCCACTGGAGGAGCATGCTCGAAGAGCTGTCTGTGTCCTTCCATCACCACTCCCACCACCACCACTCCCATCACCATCGCCGGCACGCTTCAAGAGAGGAAGGCAGAAGCGGAAAGGCAGCACCAAGAGCACCCGAAGAAGCAGTACCACCAGCAGCAGCAGCAGCAGCAGCACTGACGCTGAGCGGGCGGCCGGCAGTGCAAACGTGGTGCTCATGGGAGGCTATGGGCGGCACTGTAGACCTCAGCACCGTTGGCACCGGCACGATCAGCACCAGCATTGGCACCTGGACCGGCACCGGCACCGGCACGGCCAATCACAGCTGTCAGCAGCATGGCATGGCGAATCACACCTGCTCCAGCAACGCTCAAACACACCCAGCGTGTGCAGGGCAGGCGGTGCAGGGTGTTGCAGAGAGTTCTCAGGCGCACCCAGCGTGCGGAGGGCAGGCGGTGCGGCTGCTGGTGGCGGTGGAGGATACAGGAGAGGGCATCCCCATGGCGGCTCAGAGGGGCATGTTTCGCCCGTACTCCCAGGCGCACGCCAGCACCACCCGCCTGCATGGGGGGACGGGCATCGGCCTCTCCATCTGTAAGGTCCGTTGTGTATGGGTGAGGTACGGGTGAGGTATGGGTGAGGTACGGATAAGGTATGGGTGAGGTACGAGTGAGGTATGGGTGAGGTACGGATGAGGTACAGGAGAAGGCATCCCCATGGCGGCACAGAGGCGTATGTTTCGCCCGTACTCCCAGGCGCACGCCAGCACCACTCGCCTGCATGGGGGGACGGGCATCGGCCTCTCCATCTGTAAGGTGCGTGTGGCACCACGCTTCCTAGATTTTCTGGTGGCCTTGACTCTAGATTTGCCCTGTTGCCCTGTATTTTGCCTGTCGCACCCTGAAATTTGCCTGAGACTCACATGTTCTTCTCTAGTCCCCCACGCTTCTACCCAATCCCCTGACAGCCATCCCTCTGCTGTTCCCTGGCAGCCATCCCTCTGCTGTTCCCTGGCAGCCATCCCTCTGCTGTTCCCATCGCATCCCGCACGCAACGCCTGCACAGGCCAACACGCATCCCTCTCCCTCTGCTACGCCCATTACGCTAGCCCTGAAGGAACGAGCTTATGTCCACCTCTCTGTGTTGTCCGACCCTGTTCTTCCCTCTTTCCCCTCCCCCTTACAGCGTCTCGTGTTGCTCATGGGAGGCAGCATTGCCTTCAGCAGCGAGCCAGGCGTCAGCAGCACCTTCCCCTTGTACATCAACTCTCGCACCTCCTATCTTGCTTCATGTCTCTGGGCTTCCCTTCCTCTTCCCGTGTGGCATGCCTCATCTGTTCTGCAGCGTCTCGTGTCGCTCATGGGAGGCAGCATCGCCTTCACCAGCGAGCCAGGCGTCGGCACTACATTCTACTTTGATATCACGCTCCACACCCCTCCTACCGACACTCCCTCCACCCCTCCGCCCTGCTGCCCTCCTCCTTTCCCTCCTTCCTCCGCCCATTCCTGCCCAGCGCCCTGCCCTCCTCTTCCTCCTCCTCCTCCTCTCGCGCCCTCTATGCCTCTGCTGCCTCGCACCATCTCGCCTGCTGCTTCTGGGCCGTCCTTCACACCACGTGCAGCTGCTGCTGCTTGCTCTGCTGCTGCTGGTGGTGCTGGTGGAACAGTGGCTGGGAGTGAGATGGGCGTGTGCGTGGTGAGTGGTGGGGGTGGTTGGAGGGCAGCAGAGGGATGGGAAGGCGTGCTTGTGGTGAGTGTGGACGACCGGGCGGTGCGGCATGCCGTCACTCTCTCTCTGCTGCGCCGCCTTGGCATCTGCACCCTCCCCTGCCCCTCCTTCCACCTCCTCCCCCGCCTCCTCGCCCAACACCACTACGGCCTCCCACCAGCTGCTGCAGCTGCACCTGAATCTGATGTGGCATTGACTGCAGCACCAACAGGAGCACCAGCAGCAGCCGCAGCAGCAGCAGCAGCAGCAGCAGCAGCAGGAGGAGGAGGAGGAGGAGGAGGAGGAGGAGGAGGAGGAGGAGGAGGAGGAGGAGGAGGAGGAGGAGGAGGAGGAGGAGGAGGAGGAGGAGGAGGAGGAGGAGGAGGAGGAGGAGGAGGAGGAGGAGGAGGAGGAGGAGGAGGAGGAGGAGGAGGAGGAGGAGGAGGAGGAGGAGGAGGAGGAGGAGGAGGAGGAGGAGCGAGTGTAACAGCAGCAGGAGCAACGAAGAGAAAGAAAACGTTTTCTTTAGGAAGGGGAGACTCACCATCTTTCTCTCTCGTCCCGCCTCTCCCCAGGGCGGAGACGTCAGCAGACTCTATGTCCATCTCTCTCATCCCCCTCCTCCCCACGTCCACTAAGACCAGGAGCCAGCCTCTTGAGGCGCCTCAAAAGAAGACCAGGAGTCAGTCGCTCATCCCCCTCCTCCCTGACTCCAAGAAGACCAGGAGTCAGCCTCTCCTCCGCTTTGCACCGCACCACTGGCGCCATCGCTCCTCCACCGCTGCTCTCGACCCCCCAACTGCTCACCACTGCACAGCCACTCACCCTCCCAGTCTGATTCCTTCTCTTTTAGCCGCCCAACCTCCTGCTTCCTCCTCTCTACCCCCTGCTCCCACTGCCACATCTGCTCTGGCCCCTTCTCCTTCTGTCCCTCCTGCCCCTACTGCCCCTACTGCTTCTGCTGCTGCAATGCCTTCTGCTGCTGGCCCTTCACCTACTGCAGCCAGCAGCAGCAGCATGCCGCCCAGGCTGGCGTCTCTCCCACACTCCATCTCTGCTTCTGCCGCCTCTGCACCGCCCAGCGCTGCCACCACAGCCCTGCGTGCTGCTGCGCGTGCAAGCGGGGCCTGTGTGAGCCCATCAATCGCAGCCCCTGGAAGCAGCTCTTTGGGCGCCTCCCCCGCAAAAAAGGCATGCGTGCCTCGCTCTCTCTCAGCCTCTCCTTGCTCCTCGACTGATGTAGGCCCAGCTGCTGATGCTGCTCTGACTGCTGTGCTCCGAGGGGCCTCTGGTTTGGAAGACTCTCCTACTGCTGGCCTTGTTCGGAATCCCATCTGCCGATTCTTTGCAGACCAGCAGCAGCAGCAGCAGCAGCAGCAGAAGCAGTCCCACCACCATCAACAACAGCAACAACAACACTGTCCCCACCCATCTTTACTCCCCTCCTACCCCTCACCCCCCCTTCTCCAGCCATCCTCCTCTCCCGACCTTTCTTCCAACCCCGCGCGCCGTTCCAAGCATCTACCACCCTCCTCCTCCTTAGCACGCACCTCCTCACTCTCAACAAAGAAAGAGCGTCTACACGCATCCACCTCCTTTTCCCCCTCCTTGTCCCGCACCCCGTCCCTCTCCCACAACGACCTCCCAAGCCTCAGAAAGGCGTTTCAGAAGCAAGCAGAGAGGGCCTATGCAGAGGGTGCGTGTAGCCCCACCCTCTCCCTCGACCCTCCCTTCAACCCTTCTCTCTCCCTAGATCCTCTTGAGTCGACTCAAAAGGCACTGTCCCTCGACCCCCCCTCTGGCCCTTTGATCTGTACCTTTGATCGACTTCCACAACCTTCTCTGGTCACCCAGTCCCTTCCGTCCTACCCTCCTAGGGTCCCGTCCCTCTCATCGACCCACGCCCCGTCTGTCTCCCTCACTCCTGCTTCCAGCCCGCACATTTCTAGCCCCACTGGCCCGGGGTCAGCGGCTTCGAAGCATGCGAGAGCATCGTCAGTTAGCGCGGTGGGGCCACCGCGCCTCTCACCCCTTGGTGAATGTGTCCCTGGCAGGATGGGATGCAGCCTGCATGGGGCCTGCAACTTTGGATGTGCGGCAAGGGATGGGGTGGTGGTGGAGGGGTGGCAGTCAACTCAGTCAACACAGTCGATGCGGTCAATACTTTCAATGCAGTCAAGGCAGTCAACACGGTCGAGTTTGATGCGCACCGCGAGTGGCAAGGTGGTGAGTGTGAGCATGGAAGGGCCGAGGATCGAGTCGAAAGCGTCGCTGCTGCTGCAGTGCTTGGCTGAGGCTCAGGTGAAGCAACAACAGCAGCAGCAGAGAGGGGAGGAGGAGGAAGAGGAGGAGGAGCCGCAGCGGGGGATGCAGGCGGAGCAGCAAAAGCAGGAGCAGCAGCAAGAAGAGCAGCAGCAGCAACAGCAGAAACACGAGCAGCAAGAGCAGCAGCCGCAGCGTGTGGTGCCGAGGAGTCGGGTGGTGGCGGTGGTGGTGGAGGAGGAGATGATGAATCGCTGCCGCCTGCATGTGGACCAGCTGCTTGCCCTCGTGTCCCCCCACCTCTCTCCCCTGGAGCAGCAGCAGCGGCAGCAGCAGATGGTGCAGGAGGAAGAGGAGGAAGAGGAGGCCAAGAAGAAGGAGGAGGAGCAGCAGCAGCAGCAGACAGGGCAGAGGCAGGGGAGGAATCGTGAGCGTCCGGCACTGGTGCTGCTACATGGGTGGGTGTCCCTTGCTCCAGACCTCGTTCAACCGTCTGTTGCTCCGGAAACCAGTACAAAAGGCAACCCTGGAAGCACCGCCGACAACACCAATATCAATGGTTCCGATAACAGGAACAGCAACCACAACCACAGCACCCCTGCTTGCAGCCGAACCGCCAGCAGCAGCAGCGAGGCGCATGTGGTGTCCAGATTCGGTGCACCTGCCACTCCAGGAGCGTCGGCCTCACCGGTTACCACCGTGCCGTACCTCCTCTCTCTCGGGTTCGATGCTGTGGTTCGGAAGCCGCTTCGGAGGAACACGCTTGCCGCTGCCCTGCTGCCCCTCTTCTTACCGCAATCCCAAAAGTCTGCGTTGTCACACTCGCCTCATGTGAGCAGCCGCCACGTAGATACTACCGAGCCGGTGAGACGCTGTGATTCTGATGCTGACCAGGCTAGAGGAGGTCTTGAAATGCTCTCAGGTTACACCAGTGAGCCTGGGAAGCTGGGTAGCTTGCAGGTTGATTGTGGAGTTTGTGACTCTGTTGAAAATGATTGCCATGAGTGTGGGAGCAGGGAGGATGAGAGAAAGGAGGGAGAGAGAAAAGAGGGAGGGAGCAGTGGGAGGTTTGGCAAGGACAGGGGTTTATGGAAGCTGCTGTCTCCTCGAAAGTTTCGTGGAAACATTGCTGCGTGCGAGCCTGACAGGTCTTCATGTCACGCTGCTACAGACAGTTCAAAGGAAGGTGATTCGAGGAAAGATAAGAGGAAACGCAGGGCAACTGAGATCACTCCGGCATCACCACAGTTTACCCCAGCTGCTGCTGCTGCTGCTGCTGCTGCAGATTCTTCTGCTGCTTCTGCATCCCAAATTGCTCGTGCAGGTGGTGCTACTGCTGTGGCTGTGGCAGCAGCAGCACCACCACCGCCTCCAACACCAGCAGCAGCTCCAGAAGCAGCGCCAGCAGCAGCAGCAACAGCAGCAATGCCCGTGCCAGCAGCAGCAGCCCCTGCAGAAGCACCAGCCCCAGCAGCAGCGGCACGGGAGCCGGCAACGGTGGCGGAGGGGCTGAGCGTGCTGGTGGGTCGGCGGGTGATGGTGGTGGATGACAACCTCATCAACCGCAAGGTGGCCAGCAAGCTGCTGGAGAGGCACGGCGCGCGAGTCACTGCCGTGGATGGCGGCACCAAGGCGCTTCAAGCCCTTGCTCCGCCCCACCCCTATCAGCTTGTCTTCATGGACCTGCAGGTGAGCCTAGGAGGCGAGGGAGAGATGTGTGGGAGGGTAGCAGATGGTGGGAGGGTGGGAGATGTGTGGGAGGGTAGCAGATGGTGGGAGGGTGGGAGATGTGTGGGAGGGTAGCAGATGGTGGGAGGGTGGGAGATGTGTGGGAGGGTAGCAGATGGTGGGAGGGTGGGAGATGTTTGGGAGGGTAGCAGATGGTGGGAGGGTGGGAGATGTGTGGGAGAGTAGCAGATGGTGGGAGGGTGGGAGATGTGTGAGAGGGTGGGAGATGTATGGGAGGGTAGCAAATCAATCATCATTGCTTCATCTTCATCTCTCAACCTCCCTTTCCCCACCTTCCCATGCAGATGCCGGGTATGGACGGGCTGGAGGCGAGTAGGAGCATCCGCCACTCCATTTGGCGTTGAACTCCCCCTTTTCCACCCCTCGTTCCTCTACACCCCCCAGATGCCGGAAATGGATGGGCTGGAGGCGACCCGGAGGATCCGAGCGAGGGAGAGGGCTCAGGGCGGGGGGCATGTGGCCATCATTGCGCTCACAGCGGATGTGATTGCCGGCACGCGCCAGCACTGCTTTGCCGTCGGCATGGATGACTACCTCTCCAAACCCCTTGATGACGCCTCCCTCTCCAAGGCTGTCTGGCGATGCTTGTCTGGGCTGAAGGGAAATGAAATCGTGCAAGGTGATTATTTATGAAATTCTGGGCCATGAATGTTAAGGTCCTCTAATACTCTTGCGTGTATAAATGCAATTCTTACGGTAGCTGTGGAGATGATGTGCTGCCAATTGTACAGTTGTATATTACCTACCGTGTACAGATGTTCTCGTTTATAGTCCGACGGACTGAAACGCCGCGCGGGGACTATGTGCGAAAACCTTCAAACCCTGGGCAATACGCGATACTAATAGTCCCGTTCAGGAAAATTGCATGAAGAGTGGTTTGTTTGCTACTAGTTTTTTTATTTTGACTTTAACGTTGACTCGGACCGCGCTTGCTTCAACTTCTCGTCGCACAGTTCCCCGCGCTGATCAATGTCGCATGACTAACGGGCAAAACAAAACAAAATCAATTAAGGTCCGGGGGTCGAATAGAAGGTAAAAACTGTTAAATGTTATATTTGTTACAACTTGTTTAGGCTGTAGTGGGTTAGTTACTATGGGGTACAGTAAGTTTAGGGTTTCCTACTTGTACCCAACACTTTCCTAGTGCATTCATTCTTGTTCAATTCCAACATGGTATTACGAGCCTAGGTTAGGAACCTAGGACCACTTAGTCCTAAGGGCCCGCCTTTCCGCTAGCGCTCTCGAGCGCCTTATCGCTTTAGCGCCCTCGTGCGCCTCACTGCCAGTGCGCCCTCACGCGCCGCTCCTCCTCTCGCTGCCCGTGCGCAACCCCCTAGCCACCCGTGCGCGGCCCGTTTTTTCTAGCGCGCGCAGCCCACTAGTAACCAGCGCGCGACTCCTGTTAGCCGCTCGAGCGACCAGCGCCGCCCACGAGCAGCCTCGTTAGCCGCCCGTCGACCGGCCCTGCTGGCTGCGTAGCGCGCTGCAGCCCCGCCCGCCTTGGTAGGCCGCCGCCACGCCTGCAGCTCACGCGCAGTCGCGGCCTGTACGCGACACGACCCACACGCAGGCCCGCCGTCGCGCCGCCCCGCCCGTCCGAGCCGCGCCGCGTAGCCTAGTCCGAGCCGCGCCGCGCCGCCCTGTCCGAGCCGCGCTGCGCTGCCCTGCCCAAACCGAGCCGCGCCGCCCTGTCCTAGCCGCGCTGCCCTCCTGTTATTGCTGTTCTTGCTGTTACTACTGCTACTGCTACTGCTGTTCTTGCTGTTCCTACTGCTACTGCTGCCACTATGGCTACACCCATAGTTCTCTCTTTCGATGCTGAGGGCCGTCCGCTCCAGTTTGATGCTTGGCTCGACGATCTGCACCTGTTCCTCCAGATCACCGCTAAGGATGATGTCTCGCTGTATGACCACGAGTCCGGAACCGCTCCAGCACCTCCTGACACTGCTGACAGTACAGCTCGCTCCCAGTGGCAGACTCGTGACGCCCATGCTCGCCTAGCCATTCGCAGTCACCTGCCGCTAGATGAGCGCGCCCACTTTGGCCAGCACAAGACTGCTAAGGCACTCTACGATGCGGTAGTCGCCCGCTACTCCTCGCCTGCCTCTGCTACGATAGGCGGTCTCTCGCTGCCCTATCTCTTCCCCGATCTCGCCGCCTTTCCCACAGTCGCTGACCTCATTACACACCTCCGCACTGGTGACACTCGCTACCGCGCCGCCCTTCCTGCTGAGTTCCTCGCCAAGAACCCTCCCCCGATGTACCTCGTTCTCTACCACCTAGTCACCCGTCTCCCTGACTCTCTTCGCGCAGTCAGGGACCACTTTCTCGCCCTCTGCCCCACCGAGCTCACCATTGACCTCCTCGAGAAGCATCTGCTTGCAGCTGAGTCTAGCATAGTTGCTGTAGGTGCCTCTCGTGGCGACCCCCGCACGCCCTTCTTTGACGGGTGTTCCCCTCCCCCCCTTCTCCCCTCGGTCGCCTCTGCTGCGGCTGTCGACTACCTTGGTGCTGAGGAAGTCGGGGCTGCGTCTGCTCCTAGTTGGAGGCGCAAGAGTGGTAAGGGCAAAGGGGGCAAGGGTGGTGGCGGTGCCAGCGGGGGAGGTGGAGGTGGAGGTGGAGGCGGTGAGGGCGGTGGGGGTGGTGGCGGTGGTGGGGGTGGTGGCGGGGCTGGGGGGGTCAGTGGCAGCGGCGGGGGTGGCGGCGGCAGTGGTGGTGGAGGAGGCCGGGGTGGAGGTGGTGGTGGTGGCGGCAGTGGGCGTGGTGGCGGCGGCTCGGGTGGTGGTCGGGGTGGACCAGCGCAGCGTGGAGGTTCGAGTGGTGTCCAGCGCCAGCAGCAGCGTCTCGGAGAGACCGCGATGCCCCAACAGCTTCGTGAGTGGTACTCTCAGCATGGGGGGTCTGGGGTTGGAGGTACCTGCACGTATGTCATCCGCACAGGTGACTGCGCTGGTCAGACGTGTGGGAGGTTCCACACGCCGCAGCGCTACTTCTTCCGTCTTGACGACGCCTGGCGTGCACAATTCCCTGAGGCCTCTGAGCTGCCCCGCTGGGCTGATCTGTTTAAAAAGAACATTGATGTCTTTGCACTTGACTTTGATGTTATCCTTGGAGCCATGTATGCATTGACTATTAGTGTTGAGGGTGACTGTTACTTGTGTGTGCCACCAGACCCAGGCATTGCGACCAGTGAGGCTACCGCTCTAGGTGCTAGTACGTCTGCTGCCCCAGGTCCTGGTGAGGCTGCCGCTCTAGATGCAGGTGTGTCTGCTGCTTCAGGTGCTTGTGAGTCTACGTCTACTAAGGCACTGCACACCTTCACACTAGACTCAGGTGCTTCCTGCTGTTTCTTTCGCGACCGCACTGCCCTCGAGCAGCTCCCTAGGCCGGTTGCTGTCTCCCTGGCTGACCCCTCTGGGGGTCCGGTCCTTGCGACCTCCACCACTGCCCTCCCTTGTCCTGCTGTCGCGTCCGGCACACTGTCGGGCCTTTACCTCCCCTCGTTCTCTACGAACTTGGTGGCGCGTTCTGCGCTCTAGGACGCGGGTGTTCACCAGTTCACCCCTGCCTATGAGCGTGTGACACACTGCACGTGTGCCCAGACGGGTCGTCACCTGGCTACCTTCACTCGGCAGCCGGGGTCGGACTTGTATACACTGACCACTGAGTCTCCTCAGGTAGCTGCGTCTGCGTCTGCGTCAGGTCAGTTGTCCGCCCCCTGCTCGTGTCGCGCCTTGTCGCACCGGACGGTCCTCTCGCACCACCGCCTTGGGCACCCTTTGATGCAGCGCCTTTGTGGCATGCAGTCTCGTTTCCTTGTCTCTGGTCTCCCCAGGTCACTGCCTCCCCTGCCACCGTCCCCTGCCCCTCTTTGTCTTCCCTGTGTTGAGGGGCGGCAGCGTGCCACCCCCCACTCCTCTAAGTTCCCCCTGACGGAGGCACCTCTGCAGACCCTTCACATGGATGTGTGGGGCCCAGCCCGCGTCGGTGGACAGGGCGGAGAGCGCTACTTCCTGGTGGTAGTTGACGACTACACGCGTTACACCACGGTCTTCCCTTTGCGCACCAAGGGAGAGGTCCCTGCTGTCTTGATCCCTTGGATCCGCACTACCCGTCTCCAGCTGGAGAGGCGCTTTCGCACGGACCTTCCCGTCCTGCGACTGCACTCTGACAGAGGTGGTGAGTTTTCCCCGGCCTCTTGGAGGCTTTCTGTCAGGGGGAGGGCATTCGCCAGATGTTCACACTTCCGGCCTCTCCGCAGCAGAATGGGGTTGCTGAGCGCCGCATTGGCTTGGTCATGGAGGTCGCTCATACCTCCTTGATCCATGCGGCTGCCCCCCATTTTCTGTGGCCGTTTGCGGTCCGATATGCCGTGCATCAGCTCAACCTCTGGCCCCGTGTCTCCATTCCGCAGACCTCGCCGACACTGCGTTGGACGGGAGAGGTTGGCGATGCGTCCGTGTTCCGGATCTGGGGTTCTCATGCCTTTGTCCGTGAAACGTCCGCGGACAAGCTCTCCTCCCGCGCCGTTCCTTGTGTCTTCCTGGGCATTGTCCCTGACGCGCCTGGCTGGCAGTTTTATCACCCCACCTCGCGCCGTGTCTTCCCCTCTCAGGACGTCACGTTTGACGAGTCGGTCCCCTTTTACCGTCTCTTCCCCTACCGCACTGCCCCGCTCCCCCCTCCGCCGCTCTTCCTCACGCCACGTGCTGCTTCGGTAGACCCCCTGCCTCCCAAGGGTCCTGCTCCCTTAGGTGTTTCCCAGGTAGACCCGGTCGAGCCTGTCGAGGTAGCTGTCGACTCTGGTCGTGTGCGAGGTCCTAAGCGTGCTGAGCCAAAGCGTGCTGAGCTTGGTGGTCCTGGGTCTGGGGGTACTGAGACTGGGGGAGCTGGGCCTGGGAGTGCGGAGACTGGGGGTGCTGAGCCTGGGGGTGTGGAGACTGCAGGTGCTGAGCCTGGGGGTGCGGAGACTGCGGGTGCTGAGCCTGGGGGTGCGGAGGCTGCGGGTGCTATGCCTGGGGGT